AGGATTTTTTCTTCACACTTTGACATGTGAGATAATACAGTAATTTTATTCAAAATTTGAGATGCAATAGTTGTTTTTTAACAGAACAACCCATTGTAGAAGAGAACAGTGGTTACCCAGACCTTGTTTCTGGTTGCAAACGGACCTCCATTATAGCACAAGCTTCAGGACCCCTGAAATGTAGGTCTGCCACTGGCTGTGTCACACACCTCTGAAGAAAAATAGCAGTATATCTTAATGACAGGGGTCCAGCAATTGGGGCAGGGAGCAAGTGAGGGGAAATCTCCTTTGGGAGGGCATGTGCTCCCTTGCCTCTCTTCTGGCACTGCCCATACTAAAAGGCCCACTCCCTCCAGGCCCTTCTTCCTGCATGGTGACAGCTGTCATCAAAATGGGGAACTCCTTGAGAAGACACCCTTTTTCCTGCTTATTACTTGCCAGGTGTGGTTTGCACAAAAGGAATATGATAATGATGATGAAGGTGGTGAGGATGATGGTAAGTTCATCAATATGGCGCATACAAGACTTGACAGAATAACATTCCTCCTTCAGGAGGAGGGGAGGGTATTAACTGAACATAAATCAGATTTTGCAATCTAAACTTCAGCAGATTTTGCAATCTAAACTTTAACATTGTCTATCAAAGGAGACACAAGGGTAATGAGACAAACAAATGCAGTTACATGTACTTAAGTATTGTTTCAGTTGTGGTAAGAACACAGAGGGTCTCTCAAGATATTTGTTTCTTTTTATAATTTTTTCAAAATACTCACTATTTACTGTGAAACAAGTGACTCACTGTGTCCTTACCACAACTGAAACAATGCTTAAGTGTGGGATAATCAACATCATATAACCAACATGAGGGATAATCAACATCATATAACCAACATGAGGGATAATCAACATCATATAACCAACATGCCTAAGTCTAATTAATGCACGAAGGGGTTAATGTTATAGAGTAAGCTGCTCTGCCAGGCTTAGCTAGTTTATTCCTCTGCACCATGGAAGGAAGTTAATAAAACCTATTGTTCCCTCCCAGTCTACCTGAGAAGCTAAGGGTGTGAAGAGGTCTGAGCTGGTTGCTCTAAGCTTAAAACACATGACTCTTACAAGCCTTTAATGTCTTCCTATACCAATAATTTAGGCACTTTCACCACTGTAGAATCATAGAATCATAGAATCATAGAGTTGGAAGAGACCACAAGGGCCATCGAGTCCAACCCCCTGCCAAGCAGGAAACACCATCAGAGCACTCCTGACATATGGTTGTCAAGCCTCTGCTTAAAGACCTCCAAAGAAGGAGACTCCACCACACTCCTTGGAAGCAAATTCCACTGCCAAACAGCTCTTACTGTCAGGAAGTTCTTCCTAATGTTTAGGTGGAATCTTCTTTCTTGTAGTTTGGATCCATTGCTCCGTGTCCGCTTCTCTGGAGCAGCAGAAAACAACCTTTCTCCCTCCTCTATGTGACATCCTTTTATATATTTCAACATGGCTATCATATCACCCCTTAACCTCCTCTTCTCCAGGCTAAACATGCCCAGCTCCCTTAGCCGTTCCTCATAAGGCATCGTTTCCAGGCCTTTGACCATTTTGGTTGCCCTCCTCTGGACACGTTCCAGTTTGTCAGTGTCCTTCTTGAACTGTGGTGCCCAGAACTGGACACAGTACTCCAGGTGAGGTCTGACCAGAGCAGAATACAGTGGCACTATTACTTCCCTTGATCTAGATGCTATACTCCTATTGATGCAGCCCAGAAATGCATTGGCTTTTTTAGCTGCCGCATCACACTGTTGGCTCATGTCAAGTTTGTGGTCAACCAAGACTCCTAGATCCTTTTCACATGTACTGCTCTCAAGCCAGGTGTCCCCCATCTTGTATTTGTGCCTCTCATTTTTGTTGCCCAAGTGCAATACTTTACATTTCTCCCTGTTAAAATTCATCTTGTTTGTTTTGGTCCAGTTCTCTAATCTGTCAAGGTCGTTTTGAAGTGTGATCCTGTCCTCTGGGGTGTTAGCCACCCTCCCAGTTTGGTGTCATCTGCAAATTTGATCAGGATGCCCTTGAGTCCATCATCCAAGTCGTTGATAAAGATGTTGAATAAGACCGGGCCCAAGACAGAACCCTGTGGCACCCCACTAGTCACTCTTCTCCAGGATGAAGAGGAACCATTGATGAGCACCCTTTGGGTTTGGTCAGTCAGCCAGTTACAAATCCACTGAGTGGTAGCATAGTCAAGACCACATTTTACCAGCTTCTTTACAAGAATATCATGGGGCACCTTGTCAAATGCCTTGCTGAAATCAAGGTAGGCTACATCCACTGCGTTCCCTTCATCTACCAGGCTTGTAATTCTGTCAAAAAACGAGATCGGGTTAGTCTGACATGACTTATTTTTCAGAAATCCATGCTGACTATTGGTGATCACAGCATTCCTTTCTAGGTGCTCACAGAGTGTTTGCTTAATGATCTGCTCCAGAATCTTCCCTGGTATTGATGTCAGACTGACTGGGCGGTAATTATTTGGGTCCTCTCTTTTCCCCTTTTTGAAAATAGGGACAACATTTGCCCTCCTCCAGTCTGCCGGGACTTCGCCTGTTCTCCAGGAATTCTCAAAGATGACTGCCATCATCTGTAACTAAGCAAAGTTCTACTGCCTGTGTTTTCTGAATGCTGTATAGAAAAGCACATGAACCCAACCTTTGGAGAGTTTGTAAGTAAACATTTTTTAATTTATCAAATGTGTGGTCTTTCCTTATGCTAGGAGAAAAGGGGACTATTTTGGAAAGAATTTGGGCATATGTTAAAGGTCTAACAGCCTAGATTTCCATGCTTTAATTTGCTGGATGTTTTGTGGTTTTAAATCTCTGCTATGGTTCTTTCACCAAAGTGTACCAACAGTAAGTCACCACAAAGGAGAACACAAAAGACAAACACCTGGGTGGGGTGCCACTGCCCCTCCCCTAGCTAGGCTCTGCAATGGCATTTCCTGGAGGAGTCCTACCCTACTTCCTGATGATGAAGCCCTGCAAGGGCTTTTTCTCAAAGAATGACCTAGCTAAGCCTGTCAGGACCACTTACTCTATGGCATTAACCCCTTCATGCATTTATCAGACTTAGACATGTTGGTTATGTGGCGCTGGTAATTAAAAAGAAAGAAAGAGACTTGCTGCTGGGAGGGAGAGGCAAGTGCACAGCGGCAGCACGAAAAGGGTGGGTGGCAGCGGGGATGCTTTGTCTCAGGTACCAGAATGTCTCCTGCTGGCCCTGCTTTGGGCTATGAACATTGCTGTGAACCCCTTCAACTGAGCCCAGAAATGAACTGTCAGCAAATGCACTGTTTTTGAACAAGGTTTTTGTGCACTCTGCTTTGATATTAGTATATAATACACACAAATAATTTTAGGAGTAGTGGACTTACAAAAAAGGAATATCTAAAGGGAAATGAAATATGAAAATTTATTGTGAGTGATGACTAAGTACTTAATGGTAGTAATTCACAGAACAGGTCTTCATGACACAGACATTGTGGCATTGGCAAGCCAATTACAAATGCACTTTAAAAAAAAATGTTTCCATCAAGTCCACAAGTAATTGCACTGAACCTCTTGATAAAGTGTAATAATTCTGCAATTCCACACTGTAGCCTGTCTTTGAAGTTTATTTTCTTTGAGTGTCCTTCCTAGAACAAACTTCAAAGGGAGACTGCAACATGAAACTTCACACACATGCACACAGAGACACACACATCCAGGATAATACTTTGTGCATCTGATAAAGCAGGTTAATTCATAATAATACATAATATTAGTTGTTATTGTATTAGTTGTTAAGATGAATAAATACACCGTGTTGTTTTTACGTACCAGAAAACTGCATCAGCAAACTCCTAAGGATAAAATGGTAGAGAGCTAGAGAACCATGCCTTTTCCATTGTTCGAAAAAGGCTGATGTCCCTCTAGATGCACTTTAGTGGGAAAGGAGAAACACATAGACTTAGGCTTCTAATGGGCTGAGATGAGCACTACCAAACGAGAAGGTGGGCAGATGACATAATTGTAGTGACAGATGGCTCACCCCCTATTTAGGAAGGAAAGCAAGGGGCCATATTGGACCCTGGACACCTTCAAGAACCTGGTCTGGTGGGTGTGCTGATAAGTCTTGCCAGCTCCTGGAGAGGATTCTTTGGCAAGCCTTCTTGTTCAAAGGTTGTTCCAATGGCAAAAGCTAGGCTGCCTAGATCCATTTCATTTTGCTCTCCTCTCTGGGACACAAGGCAAACTTTCAGAGAACCTCTCAATTCCCAGCACAGGGCAACCTTCCCCAACTCCGAAATGCAAACTGTGCAGCAGGTACAGCTAGAAAGCATTTCAAAGTGGCCTGACCCTGGCTTAGGTGCCATTCATTCTTGCCTCAGCCCATACCTGCTTCTGGAATTGTGTGCATGTGCATAAATTAGCTCTGTTGCCATAAGGACTCAGGTGGCAACCATCTCTCCCCGCCCCCATATTCCCCTCCTACCATGGCCGTAACTAGGGGATGGTGAGGTGGGCCCCCACCAGGGGCACAGGCAATGGGGGGGGGCGCAAAATCAGCTAAAATTATGTCCATAAATATAAATATCAATTATTGCCTCATAAGAAATGGTTTTAAATAGAGGGTGAATTGAATAGTTGGAAGGGAGGGAGGTTGGAGGAGAGGTGGAAAGAAGAGTGAACTTGTCAGTGGCTGGGGGGGCGCAATCTGGATGGTTCTGCCAGGGGCGCAGCTCTGCCTCCTGCCTCTGAAACAGGAGCTTCCAAAGGGAAGAGCTATTTAGGGCAAGTTGACTAGCACTGACCAGCAACACCGTTGTGGGAATCAGCAGGTGTAGTGGTGAAATGCCTGTGCATGTACCTATCTGCTGTGGCCCAATGTGCCCACTTCATTTTTTACTTTTATTTTGCAGGGAAGGCCGTCCTTAGAGAACGTGCCCTCAGTGAGAGAGGTGCCCCTTGCCACTCTCCCTTTGGGCCATATCTTCTGCCTTGTCCAAAAGGAAAAGGCAAGGCAGGTGAAGGTGAAGGTGAAGGTTGCTCTTCTCACTGCTGAGAGAGGGAAGGTGGTCAGCAGCAAGTGGAGGGGCATAGCCCCAGGGCTTTGGGGTCAGTGCAGTGGGTCCCTTGCTTGGATGGGGGGCCTAAGCAGGTGCCCAACAATGTCAACCCCTGGTGCCAGCTCTGATGCCAATCCTAAGCTATTGAGAGACTGCCAGCTCACCGGTATACCCTCAGCTTTGCTGGCTTCCTCATTCAGCCTGCCCGCTCAGTGGCTAATTTGGCTACGGAGCCTCCTCCCCTGGACCACCAGTCCTAACAGGTTCTATGAAAGCATCACCATCCATCTGTAGCCCAGGTGTGAGGAACCTTTGGCCCTCCAGATGTTGCTGAAATACAACTCCCATCAGCTCCAGCAAGCATGGGAGTTGCAGTTTAGCAACATCTGGAGGGCCAAAACTACCTCACACCTGGCGTAGCCAATGCCTCCGCAGTAGCAAATGCTGGTTATGAATCTACATTTGGGAAGTAATCCCTTGTGACAAGCAGGAGGAAGCTTGCAAGGACCAAGGAAAGACCCTGCAGCACTGATATGTTCATAGTTTTCCAGCCTCGAGATTCACAATGCATGGATGGCAATGACGTTTAAGGGCAAAGTCCACCTGCCCCATGGACATCTCTTGTTCCCAAAGGTGCAAGGTACATCTTCAGCTTGGCTATGTGATTAGATGCTTTAGCTCAGAAACTGGAAGGAAAGATGCAAGATGTAACATGGAAAATCCAGCTCCGGAACAGAGCCAAATGACATGCTCCAATAAACCCATTTTTAAAAATAGCTTTCTATGGTTTTGATCAGTTTGATCAGTTTATGCATCCTTTTAAAAGTGTTTAAATTGATAAGATGTTCTGGCTGGGGTTCTGCATCAGCTTTCTGCTTTAAAAAAAAACATTCCCCTTCTCAGCTGCTATTTGCCCTGAAATTAGCAAACAGCTGCATTACCTTCAGAACAAATTGCAGCTAAAACAGGGATTTTTTCAGGCAGAAATTGGCATGGAATCCAGATCCAGGAAGCCTTGTGGCCACTTTTTCTTCAAAATAAAAGTAGCCAGTTTAAGCACATTTTAAAGGTGGGTTGGTTGTGATGCGTCATTTGGAATATTCAGATGGTGCACAGACATGTGTTTTTTATTTTTATAGTTTTCAATTGTTTTTAACTGTTTTGTGTATTGTGGGGGAGGTTATTTGGCTGTTTCTGTTTTTACATAGTAATTTTATCTTGTAAACTGCCCTGAGACCTCAGATCTAGGGTGGTATATAAATTTAATTATTAAGAATAATAATAGCCTGAGACAGGCCTTTTGTGGTTCTGGCACACTGGTGCCTATGATGCCCCCCTCACTTATTTCCTTACCTGGCATAAAGTGGGGTGGTTTTTATCTGTCTGGTAAAAAATGTTATTTTTTCCTGAGTTTTGTGCCAGCTCCTGCAGCCAAGCTGGTGCCAAGTGTATTGCTCTGCTTTCCTTTGGACCACATCAGCAAGGCTGAGGGGTCTTGTCTGGGCAGCCCAGGACCTCCCTGCACACTGCCACAGGCAGGCTTGTGACCCATGAAGGTCACTTCAGCGCTGCTAGCACAGCAAATACAATGTAGGAGGCAGCAGTTACGGGCTACCAGTCTCGGCAGCCACAGCAGGCGCGGTGATTTTCCAGCCGTTCCTCTTCACCCCTGGAGACTCACACCATTGTCTCTCAAGACAGATGAATGCCAACAACAACAACAAAATTGGCTTTTTAATGGCTTTTGAATAAGTTTTCGGTGGTTAGTTTTTAAACAAGCCCAGAGCATTCTGCTATTTGTCTTAATTGTTCTGTTGTAAATTGGTTTAAAAATAGGTTTTATGCCACCTTGGAAATTTAGTGTTGAAAGGCAGGATAAAACAATATTGAACAACTGGATAAATGTCTGCTGCTGGCCCTTCCCTTCTCTCACCTCAAGCTGTGTGCAATTGCTTTTTTGTGTGGCAGGTGCTTCTCAGATGGCTTATTCTATAACCCTTGACACGCTTGCAGAAAGCTCCATTCAACTCAGTGAGTTACTTATGAGTAAGCATGCACAAGATTATGCTCTTATAGTCTGATTGGGAACAAGCGGCTGCAAGGGTTATTCCTAGCAGCAGCCTGCATCTCAGTAATAGGAATAGTAGTCTGGGCATATGGGGGCAGTTTCAGCCTGCACTTGAAGGTGCCAGATGGTTGCAAAAAGCCTTTTTGGGGAGGCGCGCAGGCTTGCTATTTCAAATTCCAACCCAAAAGCACACTCTTGAATCACGTAGAGATGAACTGCACCCCCTCCCAAAAAAACCACCCAGGGGGGGCATGGGTGTAGCCAAGGGGCAGCGGCCCCCCTAAATCAAGTAAGTAAATAAAAATACCTAACTGACCAATCCTGCCACAGATAGCTTGGTTCTGTCCCCCTAACATAAAGCCTCCCCCCCCCCCATAAATCCTTGATACTCCCATGGAGAGAACCCTGTTATATTGTGGGAATATCCGTTATGAACAGATAGGAATTTGGCCAAGTATGTACTCTTACTGAACTGTATAGTTATTTTGACACAAATTTGGGGCTGTTCCCTTCACTGAACTGTAAAGATGTTTGGGCAAGACTCCTCAGGGGCAAATTAAATTGGTTTAATTTAGGGCTCATCCACCTTTTTGCTTGACCCATCTTTTGATCACATTGTGCACCGATTAATTCCCCTGGACCTGAGACTTTTTCTTGCTGCTCCATTGCTGGGCCTTGTGAAAATCTGAGCGCACCTGCTGAACTGAAGCTCTGTTTAGTGAAATATCTCTTCGGATTTCCCACGAACCTGATAAGATCCAATTCAGCAGGTAAGATTGGATTTTTGCAAGGCACAACTACGAAAGACAAGAAGACCTGGGGAAATTTGATGGCACACAATGCAATCAAAAGACAGGTCAAGTGAAATTCTTGGCGAACCCTTGGTGTCTCCCTCATTGGTGCTAGTTAGGTGTTATGAGTTACACCCAGGCAGAGATCCATTTTCAACCCCTTTTCTACCAAGCACTTGGGGAATTATCACGGACCCTAATTTAAAAGGGCACACACAGATTTTTTTAAACAAAGCTACAATCAGTGATGGGGGGTTGCAGCTGCCCACCAACAATAAGTTGTTCTGGGCAGCAGACTGAGCACCTGGTGACGGTCTCCCTGTTACTGTGAGATGCATAGTATTTCTGCTTATAGTAATCACCACACATAAGGAGACCAAATGTGAAGAAGTATAGGGTGGCTTTATACTGCTATAGATTTGTGCAGGGGGGGGGTAAATGATAGGATTTTAATTATTTGAAGTGTAGGTGGGTTCCCATGAGGCAAGACACAGTCAACTACAATAACCTTTATTGAACTACATAACTGGGAAACAGGGGCAAAGCAACTGCTTATATACATTTCTGAAAGCCTGGGCCACTCCCACTCCCAACATGATTGGCTGTCTAAACTCCCAAACTGCGAATCACGACTCAGAGTTCAAGGGCCAATGGCAGAGGTCCAAATCCTGAAATGTTCTGTGATTGGACTACATGTATTAAATCAGAACACAGGAGCTCAGAATCCTTAGTCCAGACTCAAGCTCAGGCAAACACAGACCACTGAATACCCCAAGTATTGTAGGGACAACAGGAGGTCGGTGGAAAAGTACAGGCTAATTTTTCTTTCCAAGTCAGGGACTAACCTGGGATAGAGCCATTAACATGACAAAAGGTGTTGATGGCCCATCCAAAAGGAATCTTGAGCCTGGGCAGACAGAAGTTGCCATGGTGATGGGGTGTGTGTTTGAGGTGACACAAAAAGAGAGTCTTTTGAGCAATATGTGCTGGGAAGAAGGGTGAGATAAAAGACTAGGATCCATCTTTGGTAGGTTGGCTGAAGACTGGAGAGATGGCTTTGACTCCAGGGCTGCACTGCTGTGGTGAACAAGCCCCATTTGCCGTGTCTCAATTCTCCAAAGAACACAGGCACTGTGTCAGTGCCTGGAACCCCATAGACTTCTGCTGTTGCTTGACAGAGAGTAGGGCTAGCGCCCAGCTTTTGTAACAATATTTAACAGATGGGGAATTTCAGCCAGTGCAGCTTTGCAATGACATAATCACAACTGCAGCTTTCGCCAGCCTGCTACCCTCCAGATGTTCTGAATAACAACTTTCCATCAGCCCAGCCTAGAAGGTACCCACCCGGCTGGCAAAGGCCGTATATGGAGCGGTATCTCAGTTCAGTTGCAGGAGGGATGACTGGCGAAATGAAGGACTCAGGAGAATGAAGAAAGCAGAGAAATAAACACTGGAAGTTGGAAGGGAGGTGGTTGATCCTGGTAGACAAGTGTAGGGTGCATGTAGGGTACATAACTGCCACTGCACAGCTCTGCTCTCTTCTCTTTTTCATGCCTGGCATCCCAGTCCCCCAGGTCGATTTCCTCTGGTGACTCCCTTCCCCACTAGGCACTGGAGAGCTCCAGCAACTTCCTCCAGGCTGTGTGTCACACTGAGCCACTTTTGTGCCTGCTGGAGGTGGCCCTTGACCTATCTGAGGCAGCAGGAGCATGACTCACACGCATGGGGACTCCAAACAAAGCAAGTGAGGAAGAGATTAAGGGCTGAGTGCAGCCGCCTCCAGCCTCATGACTTTGTGATATCTTCCCTGCCAATCCCACCTTGCTTTCCTTTCAGTTCACTCCAGACAAAAAGGACTTAAATTGGTGTGGGTGGGTGAGAGAGAGAATTTTCTCTTTAAGCACAAATCTGCCACAGCAGAGCGTATGCTATCGCCACCCAGGGCAGGTCTGTGACACGCAGGACGCACAGGAGCAAGGGCGAAGAGGGAGCCCAGTGGGGCTTTGCCAGCCCTCCCTCATGTGCCAGAGCCCAGCAGAGGAGAGGGACAGCAACATTGCTGCCGACTCTCCTCTCCCGCCCCTGGGTCAGGCCTGACCCGGAGTGGAGCTGCGGCCAGCTGGTGGCGCTGGGCCATCACACAAGGAAGCTGCTTCCACAGCTCCCTCACGCACCGGAGCCAGGCCCTGGAGGCCCTGCCTAGGCACGGCTTCCTGCCCCACAGCTCTAGCCTTGATGAGGGAGCCTGTTGTGGGGGCGCCTGGTTGTGCCCTCTCAAAAAATGCATCCAGGGCCATGACCCCTGCAGCCCCTCCAGGCTACGCCACTGCAAACCTGATACTCTTTTCCCATGTGCCAGGGAGGTGACAGTGCCAAGCAGACTCTGTGCAAACATATTTCATCTGTAATCCACGCTCTTCCTACTCCTTTTATCACATTCTCCTCCTACCTGCCCATACTGTTTGCCTAGGTACTCCTGATAAGTGAGGGCCCACCAAACTAGAAATGATATTATTCGTGTATTTAAGCTTTGTCGGGTGAGCACCCACTCTCCCCTGAATTGGATCAGGATTGTGGGGAAGCAAAGTGTTAAATTCTGCCACAGTCCTGATATACCACACCTATCTGAAAAAGCAAAACAAGCAAACATATAAGATCCAAAGTTGTCTATTTGCTTTTAACACCATCTTCAATAACATCCAAGATGCTTCATAGAGGTGCAGAATTCACCTTGCGGCATTTCAGAGTGGGATATTGATATATCTTCCCCCTTTCTTTGAAAAGGACCCTTATGACTAAGAATAATTCAACACAGGGATGAGTGGAACCCATGTGTAGAACACATGAACAGGTTTTTCAGTGCAAGTACATATATTACACACATACTGAGACACTGTACCCAATCTGAGTCTTCAAGAATCCACCCGAATGGAAGACTCCCAGAAGTGATGAGGACCATGCAGATTTTGTGCTAATTCTACACTGAAACACTTTATACAAAATAATTCTGTAATATGCAAAAACCCCACAAAAAACTCACAAATTTTAAAAATAGCTTTCCCTACATAGGTTCCTACATTCCCACTCACTTTATGTTCAAGATCAGTGCTGTTTCTAGAAAAAAAGGTGCCAGAACGCACCATGAACACCTCCCTCGTTCTCTTACCAGGGCAATGGCGCCTACCTGAAAGGTAGAACTGAGTTTCGGTGAGTTCCAGCTGAGAAAAAGCTGTTTATTTATTTTTATTTTTTTATAATTGATATTTATTAAATTTTCAAAGGATAACAACAAAAATTTCCAAAAAAAGAAAAAATAAAAAAATTTGAAGATACAAAAAACAAAAATAGTACATAAACAAAAAAGAAAAGAAAACCCAGCCGCAAAGAAAGAAAAAAGAGAAACAGAAAAACAAAAATATGAAGTCCTTTACAATCTCTATTGACTTCCTTTCTAGACTTCCTCCTCCTCCCCTCTTTTGTTTCTTAATTTTTAATTTTTACAGCAAATCCTTTCTGTTTTTTCATAACAATCTGTCATTACGTTTCCTTATTCTATTTTCCCCTTGTCAGATAAAAACTTTAAACCTTTTACAAATCATTTACCAATCCTTACTTAAGCCATGTAATTTCATTCAACATCCTTCAAACATTTATAGGCATTCCCAATATTAAAAAATAAAAAGAAAAGAATAATAAGTCAAATTCAGTCCAGTCAGCTTCCAACCTCCCCTCCCCTGGACCCGGGATTGTCAGTCCTTTTAACCTCTTAACCTGGTTGTCTCGTATCCGAGGCCCTCAAGTCTCTTTCTTGCCCCTTTCGCCACTCTTGTTGATGATTCCTTTCCAGTCGTGGATGCTCCAGCAAGAAAATGCTTTTAGCCCTTTGCGGCAAGTCCATCCCAAACCCATTGCCCAAGCCAGACAGCAAGTAATACCACTTCAGATTTCCACAAAGCTTGGAGACTTCGGCTACTCCAATCCTCTGATAGCCCATCACCAGACTCGGAAGGTCCAAATAACCATATGGAGGGGGGTCAATCCATCCCCCCATTTCCAAATCTGACCACATTTCATCTTTCCGAATCTGGTTTGTCCCAAGTTCATTTGTCAAGTTCAAAGGCTGATCTTGCCCGTCCAAAGGTCCCTCTATCTCTGAAGCCTCCGTCACTACAGCAGGTTCATATACTTGTATAGCCTTTAACTGAATTTCATTTGTTTGCTGCTGTGCTCTGGTGACTTCCATCATCAAGGTCGTCTCACACATCTGGTCCAGCTGGGCACTTAGTTTTGAAAAACCTTCCATGAACAATTGTTCAAGCCTTTGTACTAGCATTGTTCTTCAAGGTCAAAAAAAATTCTTTCCCACGACAATAGTCCAATAGTCCTTCTCTTTTAGTCTCTCTGTGTTGCAGTTTCACTAAATTCCACTAGATGGAAATTTTTTTTTTTTTTTAAAGGAATAAAAGCAACAGCAACAATCTTTCTTTTTCCAGAAACACTTTATCCAAAATTCCCCCTTCCAAATTCAAGAGGCAACAGTAAAATCAAAATGTTACCCTTCTTTTAACTAACTGTCAAGCTAGATAAACTTCAGAACGTCAATTCTGACAGCCCGCTCCTGGTTCAGGGCGGTGGAAAATTGCTTTATTTTAAACTCACTTCCGCAGGATTAAAGAGTCCAAATACAACCCCCTTCTTCTCCTGCAATCGAAGGGGGGGTTCAGAAATCTTAGATGTTGAATTCTAGTTCTCTTAGAATTTAATTTTCAAGCTTTAATATATTTTGTCTTTGCTTTCTTCACATAACAAAAGAACGGAAGGCGACTTCCTGTTTAGACCTTCCCATTCCCAGTCCCAATTAAGTTCAATTTCAAGTCCAATATTATTTGTTTTTTTCACCAGTCTTAAAAGTGGTTCAGCTCTTCCAAGATCAGGTACTCACGGATAGATATTTTAGATGCCAAATTGTCCAGGAAAAAGGCAGCGCTCTCCGATAACGGCAGTGCGGCTTTGCTGCACGGAGGAAGCAGACGACTCACAGCACCACGCACCTCCCACTCCGGAGCCCGTTACCGAGCTCCTGTACAAGGGGAGAGAGCGCTCTCGGTGCCCGCCGAGTCCCACGTCCACAGGCTTCTTCCGCCTGTGGTTTTTAAGGGCCCCCGCTGCGCCGTAGCGGCAGGACCCAAGCCTCCGTGCAGCGGGTTCCCTTCAGTCCGAAGGGAATTCCGCCATTTTCCGGAGGCGCCACCCCGGAAGTTCTGAGAAAAAGCTGTTTAATATCAAATGTATTTGTCATACATAGCTCCAGTGGATGGTGGGGTGCCACAATTCTCAGGTGTGGCGTAGTGGTTAGAGTGTTCGACCAGGAACTGAGAGACCAGGGTTCAGATCCTCACTCAGCCATGAAACTCCCTGGGTGACCTTGGGGCAGTCACCTTTTTTTAGCTTAATCTAACTTACAGGGATAAAATGCAAGGATAAAATGGGGAAGGGAAGGACCATGTATGCCATCTAGACTCCTTGGAGCAAAGGTGAGATATAAATGTAACAATAAAATAAATTTTTAAAATGGTGGTCTCACTGACCTGTGGACACTGACCAAAATCTTCCAATAAAGGTACTGCATAACCTTGGCTCTGTCACCTTCGTCTTGTACTTGTATGGAGAGGGTTGAAGCAGTGACACACCTTTGAGAGTTGGAAGTTGATATTTTTCAGAAAGAATGTGGCATGTGCCTTGGCTTGCTTGCATGAGCCTGGAGCAAGACGTGCTGCAGCCTGAGGTGGAAGAGCAAACTGCATCCCAGATCTGGTGTTTGGAGGCAAGTCCTTCCGCCACATCATGAGTCGGCCTGCCCTTGCGTGGAGCACACTTGTCCAGACTTTTAAGAAGCTAGCAAACCACCTGGGATCCCGAGTTCAGGCTTGTGCAGAGAGGTGGGGACAGCCAGCTTCGCTTGCCCCAGGCCTTGGAGGACGAAGGCGGCTGAGGAGCCCTGCCAAACCTACGCTGTCATGGCAAGAACGCCCCATGCCAGAACACCCCAGCTGACCACAGACTGAATGGACAAAATGCCCCTGCCAGTCCTTATGCACTGCAAGGCTTCGATAGTGTTACTGTGTACCTAGATCAGATGAGGTGGTGACATCTCATGAACAAGACTCCTGCCCCAGGTCTCAGACAAGCTCTGCACAGGTCTGCCTGAGCTTCTCAAACACCTGGGTGTAAAGGAGGTTCTGGTGATAGCAGCCATATCCTAGTCTGACCTGATAAATTGCTGCCCAGGGACCTTATGGTGAAGGGCAGCAATAAATCAAATGAAAGAAAACCACAAATATAGACTTGTTCCCCTTTAACACGACTGAGTTGAAGTCATGCACTGTAGCAGTGGGGCAAGACAAATAGGACATAAAAAGCTTCCCTGCACTTTTCTTGTTTCTTCACTTGGATGCAATGCGCAAAGATTCCTCTAAAGGAGAACCTTTCCCACCTCAAGGAAAAAAATGCCCTTTTTGTTTTCTTTCATTGAATCATAGAATCATACAGTTGGAAGAGACCACAAGGGCCATCGAGTCCAACCCCCTGCCAAGCAGGAAACACCATCAGAGCACTCCTGACATATGGTTGTCAAGCCTCTGCTTAAAGACCTCCAAAGAAGGAGACTCCACCACACTCCTTGGCAGCAAATTCCACTGTCAAACAGCTCTTACTGTCAGGAAGTTCTTCCTAATGTTTAGGTGGAATCTTCTTTCTTGTAGTTTGGATCCATTGCTCCGTGTCCGCTTCTCTGGAGCAGCAGAAAACAACCTTTCTCCCTCCTCTATGGGACATCCTTTTATATATTTGAACATGGCTATCATATCACCCCTTAACCTCCTCCTCTCCAGGCTAAACATGCCCAGCTCCCTTAGCCGTTCCTCATAAGGCATCGTTTCCAGGCCTTTGACCATTTTGGTTGCCCTCCTCTGGACATGTTCCAGTTTGTCAGTGTCCTTCTTGAACTGTGGTGCCCAGAACTGGACACAGTACTCCAGGTGAGGTCTGACCAGAGCAGAATACAGTGGCACTATTACTTCCTTTGATCTAGATGCTATACTCCTATTGATGCAGCCCAGAATTGCATTGGCTTTTTTAGCTGCCGCGTCACACTGTTGGCTCATGTCAAGTTTGTGGTCAACCAAGACTCCTAGATCCTTTTCACATGTACTGCTCTCAAGCCAGGTGTCCCCCATCTTGTATTTGTGCCTCTCATTTTTTTTTGCCCAAGTGCAATACTTTACATTTCTCCCTGTTAAAATTCATCTTGTTTGTTTTGGCCCAGTTCTCTAATCTGTCAAGGTCGTTTTGAAGTGTGATCCTGTCTTCTGGGGTTTGGTGTCACCTGCAAATTTGATCAGGATGCCCTTGAGTCCATCATCCAAGTCGCTGATAAAAATGTTGAATAAGACCGGGCCCAAGACAGAACCCTGTGGCACCCCACTAGTCACTCTTCTCCAGGATGAAGAGGAACCATTGATGAGCACCCTTTGGGTTTGGTCAGTCAGCCAGTTACAAATCCACTGAGTGGTAGCATAGTCAAGACCGCATTTTACCAGCTTCTTTACAAGAATATCATGGGGCACCTTGTCAAATGCCTTGCTGAAATCAAGGTAGGCTACATCCACTGCGTTCCCTTCATCTACCAGGCTTGTAATTCTGTCAAAAAATGAGATCAGGTTGGTATGCATTTGAGCTCAAACTTTCCCTATCAAAGTGACTCAGTGTCAGTTGGTGACAACTGTGCACCAGAGTTTAAGGAGGATGTTGACAAGCTGGAATGTGTGCAGAGGAGGGCAACCAAGATGATCAAGGGTCTGGAAACCAAGCCTGATGAGGAACAGTTGGAGGAGCTGGATATGTTTAGCCTGGAAAAGAGGAGATTGAGAGGAGATATGATAGCCATGGAACAAGCTTGTTTTCTCATGCTCTGGAGGGCAGGATTTGAAACAATGGCTTCAAGCTGCAGGAAATGAGATTCCAACTAAACATCAGAAAAAACTTTCTGACAGTAAGAGCTGTTCAACCATGGAATGGACTCCCTCGGGAGGCGGTGGACTCTTCTTCCTTGGAGGTTTTTAAGCAGAGGCTGGATGGCCACCTGTCATGGATGCTTTAGTTGAGATTTCTGCATTGCAGGGGGTTGGACTAGATGACCCTTGGGGTCGCTTCCAACTCTACAATTCTATAGGCAAGCCAGGCGTTCCCCATCTTATATTCGTGCAGCTGGTTGTAGACAAAGCTTCTGAAATATGAGAGGTCCTTAAAAACAATGAATGGGTGGCACATCATCCAGACAGCTACTGTGTCACTTGGGCATCTGATTGGTGCACCTCCAGGAGAAGGAAGAGAGCAGTGGAGGGAAATAAGGCTATTGGCCTGACAACATGCCTCTCCCCACCTCCCCTGGGTGTCAGGCTCAAGACCAATTGTGATTCCGGCTTGTGTTACTTTTTTTAAAAAAAGGTTCACAGTACTTTTCCATGTACAAAATGCTTCATAGTTGCTTTATGCTCATTGCTTCTGTATTGGATGTTCATAAAACACAAGTTGTGCGGTCGTCTTTATCACTGTGACAAAGCTTTTTCGACTTACTTAGCTTGACATTTGTTCTGCCCTCCTGGGTTCTATTTAGAAGCTGCAGGCACCCAGACCAGATAGTAGACAAGAATGCTCACCAGCAGGAGAGATAGCATGGCTATAGAAGAAGCAGCTACAACTATAGCTGTGCAGGATTCTGAAAGTGAGAAGAAATGTAAGAGAAGAGGAAAGCAGGGAGGCGGGGCAGGCAATGTCCCTAAACATCAGCAAAGGTAACAGGCAAACTAAATCAGCAGTGGGGAGCCTGTGGCCCTGCAGATGTTGCTGAAATGCATCTCCCATCAACCCCAGCCAGCATGACCAAGAGAGAAGGTTGATGGGAGTTGTAGTCCAACAACATCTGGAGGGCCAAAGGTTCCCCACCTCTGATCTAGATCCAAGGGAGAGAAAAAACACAAACATTCATCATATTGCCCAACTTAGGCCAAGGTTCTCCGGAACACTAATGAGCAAATTGAATACCTCAGTTTCAATGTGTTCAACAAACTTGGTGTCACAGTTCTCAAACAGTAAATTCAATGTCACTTTATGTCCCACAAAATTAGCTCTGAACATGCAGTGAATTTAGAGAACATTATTGCTGAATGGGCATATCTGATTATATGTCAGCATCAACTTTCAGTACCTGAAAAGTTATATTGTACTTTGGAGGTTGCCCTGCAAAAATCTGCTCTTTAAAGCTGAAGCACAACAAAGGGCAATTCAGATTTCCCCCAGATTGCCATTTACTCTGATTTAGCTTTAAAGAGTGGGTCTTCACAGGGAATACTAATACAAATTTTATTATTTATACCCCGCCCATCTGGGCGGCTTACATAATATATAAAACATAATAAAGCATCAAACATTAAAAACTTCCTGATACAGGGCTGCCTTCAGATGTCTTCTAAAAATTATGTAGTTCTGAATTTCCTAGGCATCTGAAGGGAGGGCATTCCACAGGGCAGGTGCCACCACCGAGAAGCCCCTCTGCCTGGTTCCCTGTAACTTCACTTCTCACAGTGAGGGAGCTGCCAGAAGGCCCTCGGAGGAGAGGAAAGCTCTGGAGCAAAACACGCACACACAAAGAGTGCTTGGACATGGAGCTGTGCCTTGGAAAGTGTGGCGGGCAGGTAAGGGTGGGTAAGATGCTGGAGAGTGGCTGCCAGTCTGAATAGTAATTACAGAGCATGCTGGACATATAAGGCACTTTGGACATATGAGTGAAACCTTATGCTGCAACACTTTACCTGAACTGTGCCCACTCACTTGCCCTTGTCACTCAGAGAAGGGAGAAGACAGTAGATGAGCAGCCTCCCTCAACCTGGCACTCTCTAGCTATTTTGGACTACAGTTCCCATCAGCCTCAACGGGGGGGGGGGGGCTGATGTAGTCCAAAACACTTGCAAAGCTGGAGAAGGCTGGTTGGTTAGGAAGGAATCTGTTCTCTCATCAATGTATTTGTATTTGTTTGTGCGCTTAAATTATCTGTGGCAGCTATGCACTTATGCTACTTGAGGACAATGGTTCTTATACATTATGGTGAGACTGAAGCTGCACAATCCCAAAGTGGAGAAACTCACTTAAATGTTGCAAGCCCTAAGCTGAAGCATTGATTCAAATAAAACAGTGGCTGGTTGGTTTGTTAAAAAGGTGACTCAGAGCACGTTATGCCTACAAACTCACCAGCAGTCCTGAGTGCCACCTTGTGGGATGCGGCAGTGAAGGGCTTTTCGTTGGGGCTGAAATCCAGCATTACATGACAGGTAGCCGCCTTTCCATGGTCCCACGGTCCCAGGGTGATGGGGTGGGTGACTGTAACGTTGGCACGCTCAGGCCTGGTATAGTTCCAGAGTTTCTGTGAATGTAGCCTCTCTGCCCCTTTGAAGAAGGTCACTGTGAGCTTGCTGAGGGGGGCCACTCTTACAATGTGGCATTTCAGGTTATAGTGCCAGCTTTGGCCTGTGGAAGACTTCTGGAGCTCCATGATCACCTGCTCTGGAGGGTCTGAAATAACACATAAAGCAAGGGAAACATTAAGATTGCCAGGCAGCCCACTGGGCTTCCATGTTCCTCTCCTCTGTCCACTGCACTGCCAAGATCTGAATGCGTCAAATGCCTCTTGGCAGTGCCACCCTTGATTCACACTGAACTTGTTAGTGTTGACTACACCATCCTCATCAGACCCATGGGGGACAATGCGCATGTGCTGAAGATCATCTAAGCTTTTTATTTTTAAAAGGATCTCTTGCCTGATGGTTTGCAGGTTTGTGATGGCCAATGGTTTTTAGCAAACAAATTTGAATCACTGTACAAATTGACCTAATCCGCACCTCCCAGAATATGCTTGGTGCAGATTGCCACCTTCCAAATCTGCTGGTACAATTCTTAGTTCAAAAACATTACCAAAATAAATCTTAAAACTAGTATTGCAGGGCAGAAAATACATTTAGAATTGCAATTTTGGGGGAGAAAAATGTGTTTAAAGCCTGTATTTAAATGCTAATTTTCATACTGATTGTTTTGTTTAAAATTATAGATTAATATGAAAATGGGACAGAACAGGTTTGTGAGTAAGCGTGTACAAAACTGACATGGGACAGAAATAGACTGACTTGTCCATTTTATTATAAATATTTACCAACAGCAGGCGTGTGGCCCAAGGAGAGCACTGCCTAATCTTCCAAGGGCCACTTGGCAGTGGTGAGCCAGAGGCAAGAGTGAGCTGAGCAACGACTGTGACTCTTACCCTTGCAGAGCTACATCTGAAGCCTGCAAACGCCAGAGGTTTCCACACACATACAGACCGCAAGCACACCTCTTCATCCACCCTCCAGGCAAGCGACAGACATTGTAATAGTTCAAGGACAGATTCCTCCAAGAGGATGCAGGAGGGAGTCTGAGAGGGACGTGGCATGGGTGGGGTCACCCTGAGGGTCAGAAAAGAGGCTGGGGTGGGGGGGACATTTAGTCTCCAGACCTGAGGTACCCCCACCCCTGCCTATAGCTTTAAAATGTTATGATTTTGTGGCAGGGGGAAGACTCCTCATAATCCTAAATGTAGTAAATTTAGCTGATTTTGGGAGTATGCAGGGAAGATGCCAGGTCAGTGGGAATACAGGCTAAATCAGTTCAGGAGATTGCAAAAAGAGATGCCATTAAAATAAGCACAAGGAGAACTAAGTGGCAGGCCATTAAGACCAACGGACCATGCAGATGAGAAGTGGGCAGAAGCAGAAGAACTGAGAGGGGAAGGTTGCCAGGGTAAACGGGGGCAGAGGGTGTCCTTTTCCAACAGAGATTTTGGGTGGAAGGGTTTCTGGGAAGAAGGGGAGGGAATGGGCAGAGCTCCATGCAGGGACGGAAGGGCAGCAGCCAGCCTGGCTGGCTGGCAGAAGCAGGCTGTGGCAGAGGGATGAGGGGATGGTGCTTAGGATGCCTCTGAATCCACTGCTGCTGTGCTGCTGGGAAGGAGAATGCTGTGAACTCTCCCTCCATCAAGACTCAAGTTGCGAATTGTGTACAATGAACCATATATCTTAAAGACACTGATCTCCACTGTGCCTTAATTTCTCAACAGAAATGCAACCCTGGTTAAGTGCCAGGACCTCTGGGATCTTGCTACCTCTCGGAAGGGATTGTGATGGCCTCTGTAACAATATCTATATCAAGTCACATGTATGAGAGTGTAGAGGGACACTTTTTAAAAAAAATAATGGGTGGCTCCCATTCCCCCCCCCCCCAGTGCAGCTCCTGACTGGGTGGTGAGAGAAGTAGAAGAAGAAGAGTTTGGATGTGATATCCCGCTTTATCACTACCCGAAGGAGTCTCAAAGCGGCTAACATTCTCCTTTCCCTTCCTCCCCCACAACAAACACTCTGTGAGGTGAGTGGGGCTCAGAGACTTCAGAGAAGTGTGACTGGCCCAAGGTCACCCAGCAGCTGCATGTGGAGGAGCGGAGACTCGAACCCGGTTCCCCAGATTGTGAGTCTATCGCTCTTAACCACTACACCACACTGGCTCCCAGAGGGGGAGAAAAGGTACTCTCAGGCTCACCCACACTTGTTCTGTTCCTAGAGAGCATGGATCTCTAGGAGACTTGTCACTTTCTCCACACCCTTCCTAAGGAAAATTTGCTCTTCAGCTCTAAATCAGAGCAAACATCAATCCAGAGAAAACCCAAATTGCCATTTGCTCCAACTGAATGTGAAAGAACAGTTTTCTCCAGAGAAAAGCAGCAGGACAAGAGGAAGTGTGGATTAGTCCTCAGATACAACATTGAGACAAGGCTACGTAGGTTGTAGAGGCCCAGTAAGCCTCACAAAAACCTGTGCTTGTACAGACTTCTGCTTGTCCCACATCTAGAAAGTACGGGCCCAAAAGGTTTTCCTCTTGCCCCGTTCCATTCCAAGGGATAACCCACTCTTTAGCGATAAATTGGAACAAATGGAAATCTGGGAAAAACCTGAATTGCCGTTTGCTCCGATTGAGCACTAAAGAGTGGTTTCCCTGGGGAAAAGCAGCAGGACAAGAGGAAAGTGTGGATAAGCCCTTAACTCCTCAAAACCAGACACTTGTGCTGCCATAGCCACCATGCCCCAAACTTTCCCTGGTACAGACACTTACATGCCACTCTACTTTGATTATTTGATGCCTTTTCCAAGAAGGGCCCTTCCGGCCTCAGGTCCAGAGCTGCATGGCAGGTGACTTCCTCCCCGTGGTCATTCTGCTGAGCGGTGATGCTGTTGCTTGTCACCACAACACTGCCGGCTTCAGGATTCCTGTGGTCCTCAAAGGTCTCCACATACAGCCTCCTCTCCCCTTGATACAAGGTCACGGTGAGGTTCCGGATGGGGGCAACATTGAAAACTCGACAAGTCACATTATACTCCTTACCCACCTCCACCTCAGGCAGCGGATCCAACATTACGCGCTCCGGAGCTCCTGGAACAGAATAAAAAGTGACAACTCTTCATTTGTTTATCTATTTTAGAGGGGGCAGAAGAACATAAGGGTGAAGGTTCTGCCTCTCTGTGTCTCCTCTGGAAATAATTCTTCCTGCGTGCTCCCAGGACAGAGGGTGGTGTGCCCAGGCCTTAAGGATGAGGCCCATGAGGTCATGAGGCAGCCCCTCTCAGCCCACTTCCAGCTTCCTCCTTTGCAAAGTGTGTTGAACCAAAGGTGAACTGTTCCAGAAGCTTTGCTAACACCAACTTGGTAGTCAAGATAACCCTACAATTAACTGGTGGTTGTTGTAGCAGTGAGCTGATTTATGCTTATATTCACTTGCTTTGATATAGGCTAAATGGCTTTGCTGTGATGCTATCCTTACCTGTGGGCTTGGGATACTGGGCTCTGAGCCCAGGAAGGGGAACTACCTGTCAGACTTGGGTATTTGCCACCTATGCCCTCATCTGGGCAGGTGAAGCAACGGGAAGCCTTAGGCAAAGTGACAAATGCTGCTTTGTGTGTGAAGAATGTTATGCACCTTTGCTTGGGCACAGACAAGCCATCTCTCTGCTGTGGTGTCTGTCCCACATCTGAAAAGGCTTGGGAAGCTGGCAGGCGGGTTTGCAGTAGGTAAGTCTATACCTTTCTTTACAAAGCTCTGGAACTGATCACTCTGGCGCCTTTGACATCCTTCTCTAGTGTACCTACACCCCACCCCTCCCACCAGGCCTCTTGGGACGGACAGCAGAGCCAGAGCAGTCTGGGCATGCAGTCCCTCAGAATTCCACCAGAGGGCGAGAGCCAGCCAGAGGGGAGGGAGGGAGAATAAAAAGAGCCTTTTCTGAGCTAGAGATAGAGGCCGGGGTTTTGGTCAGTTAGTTAAGCATTTCTCTTGCTTTCCTTGATTTCCCATTGCCCTCCCTTGGCCAGGCCCAGAGATAAAGCTAGAGATAGAATTTTCAGGGACAGTTTTGGGAGGGAGAGTTGTTGAGTTGATTCTGCCCAATGTGTGTAACATCCACTCTGCGGAAATTATCTACAGCGAGAGAAAGGAGAGAGCCAGTGGGGTGTAGTGGTTCAGAGCGGTAGACTCGTAATCTGGGGAACCGGGTTCGCATCTCCGCTCCTCCACATGCAGCTGCTGCGTGACCTTGGGCCAGTCACACTTCTCTGAAGTCTCTCAGCCCCACTCACCTTCTGGGAGAGGAAGGGAAAGGAGAATGTGTGCCGCTTTGAGACTCCTGAAGGGAGTGAAAGGCGGGATATCAAATCCAAACTCTTCTTCTTCTTCTTTTGGCTTAGCCTGGAAGACAGTGTGGAGTGTCTTGGGAGAGCATTCAGACAGGAGCTAACTGGAGGGCTAAGGCTGAGCCAGGAGAAGTAGAAGCCGTGAGGACACCGTCTCCTTGGGTCTCCTTCCAGCGAGAAGGGGAGACTCCCAGCGCAGCAGCCTGGCCAAAGATGGGCAAGGCGGGAAGAGCTGCTTCCGTCCGGACAAATGGAGAGGTTGAGAGAGACAGAGGCTGGCTGGCTGAGGGAAGTCCCTTCCCCGGCCAGCAGCAAGGGACAGGGGGCTCTGCCAAGAGGCGTCTCCTGCCCCCGCCACCAGCGGAGAGGCTACTGTGGCCCCGGCACAAGAAGCGCCACTCAAGGGGGTCCACTGGACCTGTCCCTCCTGGAGTCCCATAGCCTGGGGAAAGGCTGCTCTGGCACCAAGGGGCTCAGGAGCTGGAAAGAGGCTGTCACCAATCCACTAAGTCTGCTGGGACCAGAACAAACTCTGGGGCCCTGTGTTTGCTGTCGTGAGAGGACCTCAGCAGAACGCAAGGCGAGCAAGAAGTCGCTGAAGAGGACTTGCTCTTGTTTTGATCTTTTGTGGGCTTTTGGCCCTGTGCTACCTGAGGAAAGGAGCGCAAAGCTGGAGCAAGGGCCTGCTGGTCTTGTCATGTTTAGGCATGTTTCACCACCACCCCTCCATCCAGGGATCATGGGGCATTTAGTGTCCAACTCCTTCAGGATGCACACAAGAGACAGAGCTCCTGTATGTACATTCTGTAAAATAATCAGCTGAATTATGCAAAACAGCATCCTGACATGCACAAATAACGGGGAAATGGAAATTTGCTTTGTTTGCTTCCATCACAAATGTTCTCACTTCAAGTCCCTGAAGCCAGACTTCCTTGATGGGTGCCAAAACCAGACTGGATGGGCTTTGCAGGGGGAGGTTTTCCTACTGGTTATCTTTCAATGTGGAATTCTTTCCTTCAAGAAAGTCAGAATCCGTGCATCTCCTAAAAGCTATTTCTGTTTTAGGATTATCATCATCACCCGTCTTTGTTTGTTTTGTATACCGCCCTTCACCTGCAGATCTCAGGGGAATTCACAACGTTGTTTTAGGGCTAAACTGAGCTGGCGGAGGTGGAGCTGGGAATGTCCCCTGCCTGAAACCCCCGGAGAGCCACTGCCTGTCAGTGCAGACAATACTGAGCCAGGTGGGCCAATGGTCTGACTTGGCCTGAGGCAGTTTCCTGTGTCCTGTGTCCATTTCATTTTATCCAAATGCTTTTGTGCACATTTAATATGTCTGCCAGGCATCTTGGGGAATCTGCTCTCAGTTACAGTTCTGGGCTGGATGGGCCGATGGTCTGACTCTGTATTTCTTATTTTCCTTGACAGGACTCACGACAGCTTACAGATAAGAACAAGAACCATTAAAAAGTCCATTATTAAAATACAGCTGAATATTGGTAGAATTAAAACGATATAACTATATGAAATCTGTTTAAAACATACCAATAGTTACCATAAAAGCAGCACAGCACCAGCCCTTTCACTAAAAGCAGTCAGTAAAGGGCTGCTGGAAAAAGAAAGACTTCCCTGCCAGTGGGGTGCACATTCAACCACTTTCTAGTCTGGACTCCTGCCGGATTTGAATCTGTGGCTCTAAGCAGAGGAACCCCCCCCCCCCCCTGTATTTCACTGAGTAAGCTCCACTTCCCTTCAAGGTGAGCTGAATGATTATTCCAAGGCAGTCTAAAATATGACTTACGGTAAACGGTGATGGCTGCTTCCTGAAATGTATTACTTTGACATGTAGCATAACACTGTGGTTTTGGTTCCCAGCTGCTGATGTTGGTGAGGCTGAAGGCTCTCCAAGTAGGTCCGTCCCCTGCTGGAGCATTGTTTAAGCTGGTCTCCAGGGCAATGTTCTTGCAACTGGCACTGCAGTTTAATACAATGGAGCCTCCAAATTCCACCACAGGCTTCATGGGCCAAATCCTCAGAAACTCCTGCTCCTGCGGAGCCCCTGAAAACACAACAGATACAACTTGTATGAAAATGCAATAATATAGCGGGGAGGGTATATAAATGTTGAGGAAATGTTTGGGGGAAGCAGGGGCACTGAGTAGGGGGGAGTGGGGGGCCAGGCCCCCATATTTCTGATTAAAGGGCCAGGACACCCCAAGTTCTTTGCATCACATGCTTGCATCACATGCGCAAACCGCAGAACATCAGCACGCCCCAGAGCGTGTGTGAATGATGTCAGCATGCTGCGGCGGGTGCTGACATCTTGAATACCTGCCACAGGGAATGTGCGTACAGTGTGCTGACGTTGCGTGGCCCTGGGCCTCCTTAATTGCGGGAGGAAGTAAGGGCTTGTCCATAGTTCCTCTTGCTCCACTGCTTTCCCCTGGGGAAAACCACTCTTTGGCACTCAGTCAGAGCAAATGGCAACTCAAGTTTTCTCCAGATTGACGTTTGTTCCAATTTAGTACGAAAGGACAGGTTTTCCCTGGGAAAGGAGAGGGCAAAGGGAAAACTGCTCAGACTCGTGCCTGGAAAGCACGGGTCAAGCAGAAAACTGTATCCCATAAGAGAGGAACAGACAAAAGACAGAAAAAGGTATGCCAGGGATGGGCGAACATGGGGAGAGTGTAGCAGGCCAGGAGATCACTAGAGGCCCAACTGTCCTTTGTGGCTAGGAGGGCCCTTTACCACCTGCCTGGTTTGCCACGGCCAGCCATTCCCAGACAGGGGAAGTCTGTTCACTGTAGTACATGTTTGTGACCTTGAGGCTAGATTGCTGACCATGTGGGGTTGCCCTGGATCTAGTTCAGAAGCTCCAGCTGGTGCTGAACACCGTGGCCAGAAGGCTGTTGGGAGCTTCTGGTTGAGAACATGTGACACCATTGTTAAAACTGCTGCCCCTGGCTGCCTATCTGATACCAAGCCATGTTCAAGGTTCTTGTATTGATTACAAAGCCCTGAACGACCTCAGGACCATCTGCAGGAGTGTCTCTAGTCATTCCCTGCGCTGGTGAGGCTCATATGACAACAATGAGAAACCAAGCCTTTAATCTTATCCACCCACTCCTGTGGAACTCTGTACCAGACATGGGGGAGGGGGGGTCCTCAGCAGCCGTGTGCACACGCTGCACATGCTGATTTTAATTGTGCAGCCTGCTGGCGTGCTCACGCCACTCTCACACACCCTGTGGCATGCGCATGATGTGCTGACATCACTCGTGCATGCCACGTGGCACCAGCCCCTTAAATTGTGGTGGCAAGGTGGCATCCTTGCTGCCAATAGAGATACAGGTCTTTTCTATAAATCAGGGGAAATTGTCACGTGCCAAAGACACCTGAGAGCAGAAGCAGCCAAGCAGGCTGGGAAGGGCTGGGACGGCACAGTCATTTGGGCCTCCTAAAGTTATTCAGGCATAACTGCTAACTGGGGAGTCCCTCTGGCAGGGGACTTGGCAGCCATTTTCTCTTTTGTTCTCTCTGTAAGATTTCAGTCAGAGTCCGTCCACCTCAGTTGTGAGCAGAGTCAGTATGGAATCTCAGTCAAACTGTTTGGAAGCATGTTGTTTATGAAGAAGTTTATTTTAACTCAATAAAGCTCTTATTCTTTCACTTAAAAACTCTGCATTATTAATTTACACTGTGCATCAGAAATGAGGCTCCAGACCAAAGAGAGTCACAGACAATTTGATTTGGTGTCTTGGGTTGGGTGAATCAATTTTCACTTTCTGCTACTCTCCTTTCAGTGCCCGCTGCTTTCACATTGCTTTCATTTTCAGCCATGCTCATAAATATTTCTGGTGTGCTCCTGAATGGAGCGTGGCCTTATAAGTTTTCTCCCTTTTGACGCCTCAGATTTGCACAAAACCAGCTATTTGCACAAATTACTGTATTTTTCCATGTATATATTTTTTCAAGTTTAAAATTGGGGGTTGTCTTATACACAGATAGTGCATATGGGGGATTTCCTTATCTGGAGTCCCCCAAAATAGGGGTCATGTTATACACAGGGGCTTGTTATACATGGAAAAATACGGTACATGAAAAATGGTGTGCCAGAAATGGCCTGACTGTACACTTTTGTGTATTTGCTGGGTGGAGTTTTTTGTGTGTGTTTTTAACCCACCATGGTGCCCATGCAGCCATCTGTGTGCCTGCCCCATCTGTATTTCATAGTATAGCAGAACCAACAAATTAGAAGGCAGGGACAAACACAAAAGGGAATGCCTGCTGCTATGGATGGGAAAGACCTAAGCTGCTCCTCATACACAGTATGTGTGGCTGTGGACTGGGGGGGTCAGCCTCTAAACGATGCCCCAAAGTGGACAAGCCCCTCTAAACAACCCACAGGCATATCAGAATAAATGCTCATTGCAGTACAACTTGACTTCCCAGCAAATCAGAATGAATATCAATAACCGCTAAATATGCTTTGTGCAAGCAAATCATTGCAAATGCTGAATAAATAGCTTCTCTGGAGGAGCCTTTTGAAATGGGGTTGAGCTGAGTGTACAGTCCCAGTTTCGGAGCACTGACCTGGAAATGCCGTGAGGGTCACAGCACACCACAGAAAGTCAATGCAGAGCTTCCAGGATCTCATTACTGTTAAGAAAGAGAGAAAAGCAGAGTTTTAGCTTCCAAAAGAATTCTCTCCAACCAACCTTTAAAAGGAATCCAAGGTTTTCCCCTTGGCTCACTTCTTCTGGTTTAGAAGCATTGCCCAATGACCCATTGATGAGTTTGTAAAGTTGTCATCAACACCAACCCAAATGCTTAGGAATGTACATGAAATAATGTCAAGAAATATAAATATATAACCAGCAATTTTCTCATCAGGGGCATATGAAGCCGCTTTGGGTCCATTGTGTCCAGTACTGTCAATTCTCTTTTCAAACATCCTCTCAGTGAAGATCTGTCAGGATCCCAATCTAGTTTTTTTTACACTCCAAGTTGATTTCTTTTTCTTTTTCAGCAGTCTTGTAATGTTTAAAGTTTGTTGCTGCTGCTTTCTGTTTTCCTTTAGATTACTGCAGTTTAAACATGATCTTTTGCCTCTCTGACGCCTATTTTCCCCTCTGCATTTTCATGGTGTGAAGCTACCCTGAATACCCTTTGAGTAGCAGAGCAGGGCATTAATTACTTACTTGCAATGCAAGCGTGGGCATCTTCAATCATAGAAATAAGTCCCACTAAGTTCAAAGGGACTTTCTCCTTTGTGTGATTGCAGCCATACTTATTCTAACTTAATTCTTTCCTTTCATTTTGACTTCTTGCTGTCTTTTTAACTGATTTTAATTTTTAATCAGTTTTGTAATCTTTTTCAATGAGGTAAGGGATATATACATAGCAGATAAACAATTGAATTGACTTTGTTTTTCTATTAAGTAGCAACACAAATCCCATAGATTTACTTCTTTTCCTTCACCATGTTCCTCTCCTCCCCTTGCTCTATGAAACTCAAAGATATACATGAGGTTATTCAATTTTATTCTCAACAGCTGCCGTGTCAGGTTGGCCAGGCTGAAAGAATGATGGGCCAAGCAAGACCACCCAAGCAGCTTCTGTCAAAGGCAGCAGTTTGGCTTCCATTATCCACCCCCACCTCTGGCTAGCTAGAACAGGAAATCCCAGGGTTTGTGCACTTTTCCCAGTCTCCAAAAAGTGACACAGAGGGGGCTGGCTCCCTTACCTGCCGGGATAGTGACAAAAGTGGCTGGAAGAGTAAAGAGCACCCAAGCAAGACAAATGGCAGGCGGTGAGGCTGGTGTTCTCTCCTTGCTGTGAGACTGCAGGATGAGCTATATGAATATAAGGAGAGCAAGCAACATGCAGGAAAGATAAGAAGGCTTCTGCTGGTGGTGGGCTGAGGGCGCTGTATCCTTTCTGCTAGAGGAAGATAAGTCAGCAAAACTCAAGAGTGCCTAGAAAGAACATTCTGGAGGAGCAGGCTAGGTACAGCCTAGCCAAAGCAACTGCTTTTAGTAAGAGAAAGAGTTGGGGGAGGAGGTGAATCTATCAATTTTGCTTTATCTCGGTTTCTCATTTTCCCGGCCTTCTGTTCAGTTATCCACATTTTGCATTTGTGATGATGTTTTTTAAAAGGATTCCTTATTAACAATTGTGAGCATTTTAATGAAAATTTCTTGTAATATACGCATTTTTGTATGCAAATTTGACTAATATTTTCACTTTCCTCTAGTGCTTTTCAACCAGTGCACCGTGGCACCCTGGGGCACCTTGAATGTTGGTCAGGGGTGCAGTGGGCAGCGCCGGCCTCCATCCCTCCCTCCCTCTTTCCCTCCCTCCTCTGATGCCCTCTCACGTCTCTCACAAATCCAGAGATTTGTGCAGCTGTTTGTTGTAGCGGCCCTGGCCTTAGAGAAAGTAAGCATGCGAGTGAGGACTTTCAAGGAGAGGAGAGGAGGCTGAGGGAACCCTCCACAAGGGAGGGTGTCCAAAAGAGGGGTGGGGGCTGACAGCTCAGCAGGCAAGGGACTATAACATAACTGAGCCCCTGAGACTCGGAGCATGTTTCCCTACAGGGGAGCTGGAGAAAGAATGCAGTTGGTCAAGGGAACTGTTAACTCATAAAAGTTGAAAACCTCTGCTCTAGTACATGCAATTTGCATACATTATTTGGCTAGAACGGCATCACAAGAGTCAGAGAAGTGTGAATTTTCTAAGGATAGCCATGTTTCAGTTTGCATCTTTTTCCAGAAAGTGTAAATTGGCTAGGTTTGCATTAAAATCCAAACCAAATCACTTTTCTCCCCATCCCTAACAAGAGTTCAGCATGTGCTGAAGGCTGAAGTTCTGGATGAACACAGTAGGATTTACTTCTGAACAAACAGGCACAGGATTGCTTTGCCTTGTATAGAATCACTGAATTGTAGAACTGGAAGGGGCCCCAAGAGTCATTCATTCATTCCTTCATTCCTTCATTGCATTTAGGTATATCCCACCTTTCTTCCTCCAATGAGCTCAAGGTGGCGTACATGATTCTCACACTGCTCACTGAATGCCCACAATAACCCTGTGAGGTAGGTTAGGCTGAGAGGCAGTGACTGGGCTGAGGTCACACCAAATGAGCTTCATGAAAATGGGGATTCGAATCCTGGTCTCTTCCAGGTCCTAGGCCAACACTCTCACCCCTCCGCCGCACTGGCCAACCCCCTGCAATGTAGGGTAAGGTTACCAGATTTTTTTCAAAGAATCCGGGGATACTTTTTTTTTTTGAAAAGAGAAAATAATTATTTTAAAAGTTATTATTTTTTTAAAAAAGAAGTAATATCTTCTCTTCTGTGGTCTCCTCTGTCGCGTGGCCTTCCTCTGGGCCCCAGCCTGCTCTCTTGGAGTGCCAGCCGCCATGGAGTAGGCTCGGGTCGGGCCAGGACTTGGCCACGTGTCCTTGCCCTCCCAGTGCTCTACTACCTCTCCTCCTCAGTGGTGGCAGCGGCACGGCAAGGTCGGGGCTCCCCTCTTTTTTCTCCTTCCTCTTTCTCTCTCTTCTCCTTCTCCTCTCCTCCTTCTCCCTGCGTCAGCTCCAGGGTTTTCCTGGCCCCGGAGTGCCGCTGGGTAGTCAGCCGGGTGCTCTTGCTCCCAGTTTGATTTGGGTCGCAGGGGGGTTCCCCCAGTTGACGCGCTGGGCGTCCCTAGTTCCCTCTCAGCAGTGGCGGCTGCAGCAGCAGTCTCAGCAGCCCAGAGCCAGCCTGGTAGCGCAGTTGGCCCTGGCTGGCCTCAGGAGCTGCTCACTGCTGTAGTGCCCGCCATTTTGCCTTGCCGGAAGTCCCCGTATGATGTGTCTTGTGCCGTTGAACCAATCACGCAACATTCATTCCCTACTAATAAATCTACAACACTTAAAATATAAATCCGGGGACACTGAATGAAATTCGGGGACAGATTTATAAATCCAGGGACTGTCTCCAGAAAACAGAGACGTCTGGTAACCATAATGTAGGGCACATTGTCTTGCAGGTTCAGTAAGATGTTAAAAGTGGCAAGGGGGGGAGTGGACCACAAGGAAGACTCATGTCACACCTTAAAACCTGACAAACAGTCAGAAGATCCTGCAGCTCAAAGGTAGGGCTCTCAACCACCAGCCTCACTTGCACTTCAGGCTTCCTATACATCTGCTCCCGTTATACAAATTAATTCCACTGGAGTCATTGTGGTTTCTTAAACAGCAACATAGACCTACTTTTTTAAAAAAGGCAATGCACAAAATGGACATGCCTCACATCTGTCAATTTGACCAGCATAAACAGTCGGAAATATGGCAGTGGAAAAAGTTTATATTTTGCTTCAATAGTGTTTGCATCGTTAGGTGGATCAAAGCGTCAAGATTTCAATAAATGGGGGAAATACTGTAAATAATTATAATCAAATTTTTTTTCAAGAAAAAGAAGTGCTGGCGCTCACCATGAACCTCTCCCTTGTTCTCTTAGAATGGCAATGGTGCCCGTCTGAGAGGGGCCAGAGCTGAGCTCCAGCTGAAAAAAAAGCCCTGATAATAATAATGGTATGGTGGAAACCAGCTTATTTCCAATTGTGTTTGAATACAAAGGAGAAAGAGTTAGTGGTGTCTCCCGGAGGCTGTTTCTGCCCCACCTTTTAAAGAGCAAAACATTTGTAAAACGTATGGAACTCTCCAAAGATTGAAACATCTGTATACATGATATGCATGGGAGAAACTCTGCATTTTCTAAACAACTTTATTATCCCTGAGGTTATCCAGAACACCAAATGGCTGGGGTATAATCCAGGTGAATCCCCACAGGACTGGGGGGCAGTGGCTACGCGAGTGCAGCCCCCCAACCCCCTAAGGCTGTCAGAGGAGATTCCCAGAGGAGGCCTCCAGCTTCCACACGGGGCAAAGGGCCCTTCAGGACGCCCTGCGACACGGGAGGCAGCGGGTGACAGTTCTGCCGAAGGGCATGGCCTTAAAAATGCCTCTGCAGAAGACACGGAATGCACTTGCTACTCGCCGGCAGGTGGCGCCCATTCACAGCTCCTCAGGCTGAAACGCCCCTCCTTTCCCGGAGAGGAGGTCCAGCTGCCCTGCTTGAAGTCGGGGCCTCCAAAGGGCTCGGCTGTGATCTTCTTCACGAGATGGTGACATTCTTTGCAGGGCAAAGAGCAGACAAAGTCGTGTGGGGAGATAAATGGGGCGCCCCGACCACTGCGGGGGGCAGACAAGGATTTCACCGCACACCTGAAAGGCGCAAAGCTTGGGGCTGCGCTCTGGGAGCTCCAGGCGGGGAGGGGCTCTCTGGAGGGACCCTGCTGCCCCCGGAGCCCCCCGCCGGCCGGGGCTGCACACCATTCTGGGGGTCCCTCAGCTTCCCGGCGGGGCAGCAGGGGCAGGCCTTGCGCTGGCTTCCAGGAGTTTCCCGGGGGGCGGGGGCGGCCTGGGGGGCAACGGGGGGCGGGCGGTGGAAGCAGAAGGGAAGAGGAGAGGTTTTTGGAGACCCCTTCCGGGCGGCTTCCTGCGCTGTGCGCTGGCGCGGGCTGGCAGCAGCGGGGCCTCCCCCGGACCCGGGGGTCGAGCTGGAGGGAGGGGGTTCCCCGGCTTCGGGCATAGCTCGTTGTGGCGATTTAAGAATGCTGCTGACCGAAATAGAGCCAAACCTGAATTAATCGATAGCAGTGCACTAGGTTCAGCCTTCTCATTAGGATTATTTTTAATGCTATTCATAATTTTTATTTTATTCTTATCCTTCCTTATCTTAATTTTCTGTGTGTAATGGGAATGTTACTATGGTTGATTTTACGTTACGCCAGAAGCGGTTTAGTCCTGCTGGCCACATGACCCAGAAAGCTGTCTGTGGACCAAGGCCGGCTCCCTCGGCCTGAAAGCGAGATGAGCGCTGCAACCCCAGAGTCGCCTTGGACTGGGCTTAGCCATCCAGTCTTGCCCAGCTACTCCGTTCTCAGCAACAGACATTGGTCCAGTTCATAGAATCCAGCTATGCACTTAGGGAACTGCGATGCAGAGACATACATAGCCTGTGCTTCAATTTGTACAGTCTCTTTTCTCCCAAGCTCGTTCCATTTGTGAGGGGGCAAAATCACTTCAATAATATTTTTTAAAAAATAAATAAATTATATCCCGCCCATCTGGCTGGGTTTCCCCCATCATTCTTGGCAGCTTACAGCACATAAAAATTGTAAAACATTAGGCATTAAACATTTCCCAATACAGGGTTGCCTTCAGATGTCTTCTAAAAGTCAGATAGATGTTTATTTCCTTGAATAAAAATAATTGTAATACAGCCAGAAGATTGAATGCTCACATCATAGGTTGCCCCAAAATTAGGCCCTGCAGGTGATGTGGTTTCAGGATTTTTTGGCTCCTTTTCAGGGGCAGCAGGAGCAGGTGTAAGACCCTGGGCAGGATGCAGCTGATGAGTTCCATCAGCAGAAGTCCTAGGCAAGGCCTTCCACATGCATAACAGGGCTTTTCCCAACCTTATCTTTTCTAAAACGTTACTGTCTCACATCAAATATAAACGATCTGTAGAAAAGAAAACAGAAAACTGGAAACAGAGACACTGTATGTACTTATGTAACCCAAGAAAATGTTTAATAAAACAATTTTTAAAATAACAACAGGGCTTCCCCCTCCCTCTCCATGCCTCCCCATTTATTAATTTTATTTACATATTTCATAAAATGTATATACTGCTTGACTGTAGGAAACCCCAAAGTGGTTTACAAAAAAAGATAGAACAATAAAATTATCTCTTAAAAAAATTAACAACCATAATTTAAAATATACAGAAGAATATACAGTAAAATAGACAAACTTTCAGAATATGTGGGTAGGCTTGTCTAAATAAGAACATCTTCAGCAGGTGCTGAAAGGACTACAGTGAAGGTGCCTGAGAGCAAGAGGCTGGGCGTTCCAGTGTTAGTGCTGCCACACTAAAAAATCAAGTGCTGACAGATGTGGGTCATGTGCAGCCTCTGTGAAGGTGCCAGTTCTGCCAACAGAAGTGGTCAAGCGGTCATATGTGGGGCAAGATGATCTCAGATGTAAACTGATCCCTAGTTGTTAAGGACTTTATATGCTAATAGGAACACCTTGAACTTGGCCTGGTAGCGAGCAGGCAACCAGCGCAGATCTCTGAGCAGAGGTGCTCTATGCTGACGAGGCGTCTCTTCTGCCAGCAATTGTGCTGCAGCATCCTGCACTGTCTTGCAGCTTCCAGACCAAGTGCCAGCGAAGCCCCACATACAGCATTGCAGCAATCCAGCCTTGAAATACGCATGAAGCCACTTTAGAAAGTTGGTGTATCAGTGCCTCCCAGGTGTTCTTTTACTGACAGGTGGTTGGACTAGATGACACTCAGGATTCCTTCCAACTCTACAGTTACACGATTCTATGACTTATTTGCGGGGTTAAACCTCTTAAAAATTTTATTGTGCTTTTAATTGTTGGGAGCCGCCCAGAGTAGTTGGGGCAACCCAGCCAGATGGGTGGGGTATAAATAATAAATTATTCTTGTTATTAATTATTACTATTATTAAAAATCTCTCATGTCTAAGCTATGGAAAGTCTACAGAATAATAATAGTGAAATCTCCTTGAATTTTAAATTCAGAGCATTCCCATTTTTATATATGGTTGCATGATAACTGACAGAGCAGCTAAGGAAGCATAATCACAGCATATGCCGTCTGCCTCTCAGAAGACACCGTGTCCCACATACTGTTAGCAGTCTGCAGTTCTTCCTGGTAACAGAGACTCACCATGCTGCAGTGAAAGTTTCATTCATTCAGGAGATGGCATGAACAGAATTTAACAAACAATTTTATTCTCCAGGCAATAAGACAAGAACATAAAAATAAATTCATTGAGAATGACTTGCTAGGTTTTGATGCAAGAAAATTAACTTGCAGTCCCTTCAATTCACTTGCTGTTTGGGCGCTCAGCCTCCAGAATAGAAGCTCAAAGATTTTTGAAACAGTGGCGTAATTCTCCTATACAAGGTTAGATTTAAAACAAGGAGTCCTTTTAAAAAATCTAGATGACAAGTTCAAGGTTCTGCAAGAGCGCTTTCCTCCTATTCTAATGTATGTAGACCATTTCATACATTTTAGGCATACACCCATAAAGCATAATTCACAAAGCAGATTTTGTTGGTGTTTTTACATATAAATGTGGCTTTGAGCCACATGTGCAAAAATGACACTTTAAACTTGGGGAAGTGTGGAAAAACTGAGCATGTGGAAACACATGACCCAGCATTTTTCAGCAGTCATTTAAAAGCATACATTATTTTTAAACCATTCTCATATCCTTCACATTAAAGACTTCAGCCTGGCCTGACACTGAAAAAGACAAGTTTTCTTACGAGTTATGACATGTAGTATCTTTAAAGAAGAGAATCCTGAGTTCATGGGTCATGATAAAAAACCATTTTATGTTGACTATGCCACCACATAAGAATCTTGGCTTTCCTTTAAGACCCAACTGGTGCCAGATTGCACCCTGGAAGAGCTTGGATGGTCCAAGAAGGAGACAGTTGTTTTCACAATGCAAAATGCAATCATGATCTTGCCGGCTTATAGTCCCAGTGGGGCGAGGTGAAGGATCCAGGCAGACACTTCATTTCACACTGCAGGAATGAAAATCTAAGTTCTGAAAGCATCCATTGCTGGGGAAATGGTCCATCCTTAATGAGGCTCTTCCATCCTTCCGCCTTCAACACACCTGCCTGAACTCTTTGTGTTGCTTCTTACTGAGTAACTGAATGTTGTCAGCTATCTCTCAAAGCTTATGCTCTGGCAGCTTTTACCCCCTCCTGACGTGTAAGCATGAGAGTCCAACATTCCGGTTCTCAAAACTTCAAGATTCCAAGGCTTGGATGGAAGAGAAGGTTTTAAGAAAACATAAAAGGGACAAGTTTCTGATCACAAGTCTTTTTCTGAAAGTGCAGAAACCATTCACACTCCTTAAGACAAAGTCCAGTTGGAGCACTGCCCATCAGTTGTTCAGCATCTCAAGAATGCTTTCCCATTTTCTCCCCCTGATCACTGGCTAAGTGGGGAGGATGAACCTGAATAACAACTGCAACTTGCTGGCATGGGCTCAAGTTCCTCTTCAGTTTATAGCAGCCACCTGTCCACTTAAACATTCACAGACTATACGTTGCCATTCAGGCACTTTTGCTCCATGGGGCTTCCCGTTACTTGCTGCTGCCGCCGTCTTAGGTGATACTTCTTGATCTTACTTCTGTAGTGCATGTAATAAGCCACCCCTACTGCAGAAGAAATAAACACTACACAGAGAATCCCAATTATGATTCCAAGGATGTCAGGCTGGTAAGCTGTGAAAGGCAAAGACAAGTGGGTTAAGGTTATGGGCCTAAGAATTCTGCAGGGCTGCAAATCTGCAGAACACACACAGCTTTGCTTTTTAAAGGGCAAAATTCAAGCCCTCATGATTGAAAGGACATGTAGGTTGCTAAACACCAAAAGCTCAAGTAAATGAGCCTGGACCAGTGGACCACAGAGATTCTTGCCTCTTTCGCTAGCTTTAAGACCTCTGGTGATTCCTACACTTGTGTTGCTGTTGAATGCTAGATGTGACTATTCCTCCAAAACTAGCTGCTTTCTGGAAGTTCCTGGTATTTTAAGGGTTGGAAGTCTGGTTGCAAATTGAAATGCTAAGACAATTGAGCTAATCTGCACATTTCCAAAAGTGGAATTTTGTGTAGGCTACACACAAATTGGAGGTTATGAAGCACTGGCCTATCAAAGGGAACACAGGAGCAAGTGTCAGAAGAGTCAAGTCCACTGATTTGGGAACTTGAAGGCATCACTATTACCTGTGGTAAGTGCACACTTTTATGTTGGTCCACTGTCGTCTCTGATTTTTGAGGCTGAGAATATGCGACTTCCAGAGGCTGGCACCTGACAAAAGCTGTTCAGCGAGCCAACAAGCGTGTGCAAGATTTCAACAGCACTCACATCAAAACCCAAAAGAGTCTTTCCATTGGACCTGTGCAATTAATGCCTGCGGGTTGTTAGAAAACCTGGCCAGTGGCCTGGCTCGGCTTGGCATCCCATATCCAGCTGTGTACTATCTCCAATCCAGAAAGATTGAGGAAGATTCTCTCTGTTGGCCTCCTTGGGATCAATTTATAACCTACATTTTGGTCCTGCTTTTTAGCAGAGTAATTTTAAATAATTCCACATTCTTGGCAGTCTGCTACAAATCCAAACCATGTGAGTCTCTCTCTTTCTCTCTCTCTCCTTCTCGTGTGTGTTTGTGTGTGTGTGTTTCATTGGAAGACGATTTGGACAAGGAGGTTAACTTACATTCAATGTGTATGATCACATCTCTTACATCAAATCCGTAGGCATTGGTGGCATTGCAATGATAGATGCCACCATGCTCTTTTGTGACTTGCTGCTGTATCCCAATGTTGTACGACACCTCATCTTTCCTGCATTCAACAGTTGGTGGTGGGTTTCCTGAGGCTGAACAGATAAAGGTCTCTTCACTGCCGTCCTTCCAGGTCAACTTATCAGGGCAGCTAGAATCACTCATTTGGGGCGCATCTGGAATGGAGAAGACAAACGTGGTTGTTTTGCCTTGGCCATAAGGGATGAATTGCAGCATCTTATTTCATCATTGCAAAACCGCATAAGATTTGGTGGTAATCTTGTGCCCTTTAGGCAGCGTGCACAGGATGCTCATGGATCCTAGAAGCCACCTGGGTGCTCCAGTCTAGCAGCTTGCACAGCAACTTGAGAATCCCAAGGCTAGTCCATGCATCCGTATTCACTGCATGATGCATGTGTGAATAAACCACCAGAGGCCAAGCACCACAGACGGAAATGTCGTATCGCTTCAGATCACAAAATGCATTTCAGCTGAGCTCAGTTCATACATTCAGGGTCAAAACAGATATGATGCCAAGAGTTAACATCCATAATCCGGTCCTACAATTATTATTTCTTCTTAAAGAAAACATGCTAAAATAAACCACAGGAGGGGGTGGGGTGGGATTGAACCACAGCACTGGAGGGGGCACACACACACACACACACACACTCATAGGTACTAGTATATCCCTTGCACGCACCATTTAGTATCTCTCACTGGGACAATTTGGACCAATGAAATGGTTGAGGGAGGGAGGTTAACACACTCCCAGCTAAATGGCACGGGTCTGAATCAGCCCCTCCCTGCCCCTGGTTTCACTCTTTAAAAAGAACCGGCCATCCAAACACAATCCTCCCAGCATCGAACATCACATCAGATGTGAATAATCAGGAGTTGATCAGGTTGTGTAAGTGGATCCAAGATTTGAGAAAATGCATTGGGAACTTACACTGGGAAAAATTACGGCTATAGGACCTGTGCTTGGGTAGGAAAGACCTGATGGCTTCCAAGAATAACCTCCCGTTTTATAGGCCGGCTTCTCAAGCAATTTCCCTAACCCTTATTTTCTCATTCATGGAAATTAATTAATTAACCTTACACAATAATTAACCCCACAAATTGTGCATATATCACACTGATCCCAATGATGAGCTATATCTATATTTGGTCTGCACCACTTTAGAAGGCAGGCGATAGTGGGGGCTGACATGACTCAGTGCTACATGATGCAAACAAAAGATTAAAAACCAGCATATACGGGAGAAGGCCAGGCCTGTTTTTGAAGTGCAGGGATTGATTGTTGTGCTGTTTTTGTTGTAATTATTTGTATGTTTTAATTGTGTGTGTGCGGTTTTAATTCTACCAATGTTTAATTGTTTTTTTAATGATTGGGGTTTTTTTCCTGTGTTTTTAGTGGTTCTTATTTTTATCTGTTAGCTGCCTTGAGTTCTGTCAGGAGAAAAATCGGAATATAAATAAATCAACAACCACCATGTATAAGATAGCTCTCAGTCATGTGAGCCCCTGTCTACAGTCTGAAGTGGTACAGTCCAAGCACAAGCTGCCTCACGCAGAACTAGGCCTATATATATGGACAACAAGCTGCACAGGTTGGATCATTCATTCCCACTGCATAATTTATTTATTCTTTGTTGCATAATGCGAAGAGTTCTGAATCTCTAGAAATAAAATATTGTTCAGAAGAGCATTTCCTACTCACAGAAGACAGTGAGATTTGCAGCTGTCTCTTTCACAACCGAGTGCCCATCAACTTTCAGCTCCACTTTGCACATGAATTGCCTCCCATTATCCTCTTCCTGGGCCGTCAGTGAATACTGCAGAGAAGGACCATCTCCGGATAGTAAGATCTCCTTGGTGTCACTGATGCGCATGACAACACCAGGGGACTTGGAGCCATCAGACCTGCACATAACTGACACATTTGTGTTGACAGGGATTTGGGGGTGGTCAATGTGCAGGGTGGGTTTGGGCAAACCTGCAAGAGAATGTAGCAGAACAGCCATTACATATCTAGATTGCTTGACTGACTATAATTATTACACCATGAGCTAAACCCTATCAAGTTAAAAATTTTGGTGAATTTTTAAAATAGGCTTGAGGTAAATTGGCAGGTTTTAGCCATGATGGTGAAATAGCTTAGAGCTCTCCATGCTTAGAGGCAGTGTAAAAAAGGTAACAGGTAATAGATAAAGGACCTCTGGACGCTTAAGTCCAATCAAAGGCGACTATGGGATGCGGCAGTCATTTTGCTTCAGGCTGAGGGAGCCGGCGTTTGTCCACAGACAGTTTTCTGGGTCATATGGCCAGCGTGACTAAACCACTTCTGGTACAATGGAACACCATGATGGAAGCCACAGCATGCAGAAACACCATTTACCTTCCCACTGCAGTAGTACCTATTTATCTACTTGCATTGGTATGCTTTCAAACTGCTAGGTTGGCAGGAGCTGGGGCAGAGCAACGGGAGCTCACTCCATCATGCGGATTTGACCTTCTGATTAGCAAGCCCAAGAGGCTCAGTGGTTTAGGCCACAGCGCCACCCACTCCCTGTAGAGGCAGTGTACCTGTGCCAGGCAGGGTACCAGATGCTAGGGACAAACAGGAGGGGCAGGGGAAGCTGTTTCTTTTCCCTACTGTTTGTGGGCTTCCTGGAAGCATCCAGCTGGGCCAGACAAACTGACCTAGATGCTTTTTTGGACAGGCAGGAAAGCTCCAGTCTGTTGCTCAACCCATACATCATCCCCCTCTTGGTGTGGAGACGTTGGCCAGACTCTGTTCCCTAGAATTGCATGTTGAAAGGCTGTTAACTAATGGGAGCCAAATGTCTGTCATTTTGACAGGCATGCAGGGAAGGCCTATGCCTGGCAGCCCCACTGCAAAGGACTGTGCTTTATAGGTGGTGGGCCAACAAATGCTGGTGGAATGAGCTCAGGCTTAGCCTGCTGAAGAGGAGACTAAGAAGAAATATGATAGCCAGCTTGAAATATCTAAAGGGCTGTCACATGGAAGATGGAGCAAGCTTGTTTTCTCCTGCTCCCAAGGCTAGGACCTGAACCAATGGTTTCTAGTTACAAGAAAGGAGATTCCGACTAAACATCAGGAATACGTTTCTGATAGTAGGAGCTGTTTGACAGCGAAACATGAGAGGTGGTGGACTCTCCTTCATTTGAGGTTTTTAAGCAGAGGTTGGGTGGCCACCTGTCATGGATGCTTGAGCTGAGATTCCTGCATTGCAGGCGGTTGGACTAGATGATCCTCGGGTCATTTCCAACTCTACAATTTTGATTCTATGAAATCCAGATATGATACTCACTGTAAACATTCACAGTACTCTCTGCAGTTTTGGTCACTGGCCCCAGAGAGACAATGCAGATCAACTGATGTTCTCCTGCTGATATTGAGGTCACCTGAGCCTGGGCACTCACTTTGTGCCCCGATATGTGGTTGCTGGAGTTCAATCTCTCCCCTGCAAAGAACAGCTGAAACGCTGCCTTTTGAACCGGAAAAAGTCCAGACACCTCACATTCCACAGGCATGCTAGTATTGATCTCTACAGAGCCCAAAGTCTGAAGATATGGGTCCATGGGGAAAACTGTGAAAACCATGAAAGAAATCATATCAGTTATGAAAAGAGATATCACTCCCATAAACAGGCAGTGACCACTGATGCCAACAGAAATGAAAACAAAGCTACTGAAGAAATAAACTAGAGGTTTGCAGAAGTTAAAACAAGTGAGCTTTCCCAAAAAACAAAGGAAGGCAGTAAAGATATCCAACCAGCCCAATGAACATCAAGCCTGCTCAGTTGGCTTCGGTGTTAGTTGGCTTCCATGGACTTACTGCCCTCTCTGGTTTGCGGCATATGGAAATAAATCATAAGCAAAATTACAGGTAGCCACCTATACCAAAAAGATTACAACCAGTTGCAGTTTCATTCAGTACCCCCAGCCTTGCAGATACAGTAGCCCTGTCTGCACCACAATGCCATTGCATAAATGAAAATGAAATAGATCCATCATGGATGCAAAACAGAAGCAAGAAAGAGTGTCCTTTCTGACACCCAAGGGGATCTGTATGGGGGAGTGACAATGCAGGGGGGGTTCCATTACCTCCAGAGTTTCTGCTTGGATTTATGCCCATTAGCAGTCAATGAATCTGCTTCTTTTGCCATTGTGCCCACTTCTTTTAGAGGATGTGGGGCCTCTGATGTGAACTCACCAACAGTCTCCAGCGATTTGCTGAGGGAATCCATTTCCAAGAAGGGCCCTTCCGGCCTCAGGTCCAGAACTGCGCGGCAGGTGACTTCCTCCCCGTGGTCATTCTGCTGAGCGGTGATGCTGTTGCTTGTCACCACAACACTGCCGGCTTCAGGATTCCTGTGGTCCTCAAAGGTCTCCACATACAGCCTTCTCTCCCCTTGATACAAGGTCACGGTGAGGTTCCGGATGGGGGCAACATTGAAAACTCGGCAAGTCACATTATACTCCTTACCCACCTCCACCTCGGGCAGCGGATCCAACACTACGCGCTCCGGAGCTCCTGGAACAGAATAAAAAGTGATAAATCCTATTGATTTGACTTTCTTCAATAATGTTTTATTCTGGATTGTTGTTGTTTTTTAAATGTTGTAAACCAAGTTTGAGATTTTTTTCCATAAAAATAATGCAGTATAGAAATGAAATAAGTAATGATAATAAGTTATTTCATTTACAGATCACTTCCTATGAAACATGTCAAAGCAATTTATCAATAAAAAAATGCATAAAGAACTGAGAATCAAATACCACCCAATCTTCATTGGTTAATAAAATTCAGAAGTAATGGAAAAAGAAAGGCTACACATTCTGTGTTTCTTTCTATGCCAGTCTTGGGAGCGATCCCTCCCGGGCATCTCAGGACCAGGGGGCAGTGTGTCCAGACCTTAAGGATGAGACCCATGAGGTCTCTGCTTCAACTAGGCAGCCCCTCGCACCCCACTGCCGTCTTCCCTCCTGCCTTTGCAAAGATAATTTTGCTTGGGAACCAAGTGGGGCTGACAGAGAGGGCTGACTTGGGCAAAGCCATTAAGAGCTAAGAAAGGACAAAGCTTCCGGGCACGCCACAGCAGGCTGAATTATGCAAAATATTAAAAGTGGCAGGAAGCATGCCCATTTGATTAATTTACATAATATTTACAGGTTGCAGAATGTATCTCTTCAAGGCACAGACATTTCCACTGTTGACTAAAACGTCATCAAGGATGGGGCAATGAAGGGAATTCTATAACTTGGGGGCTACCGCAACAAGGTCCTGCCCCTTGTTCTCAGCAAGTGAACTTCTTTCGATGGCGGGTAAACCCTCCAGGCTTCTCTATCTGGTTCTCAGAACTCTCCTCAAGCTGCAGCCCCTTTCCCCAGACCATGCCCCTCACCAGCCCAGCTCTGAAGCCTCACTGAATGATTTTGCCTGTTTGGAATATGTCCTTGAACTTGGATGTCTCTTCCTTGTCTGGATGGAGGATAGAGAAGATGCATGAGTGTAAATTGGACATTAATTTCTCCACCCACTGTCCACCACTGGTAGTGCCCCTGGGCTGTCCAGAAAAGAATGCAGCCCTTGGGCTGGAAAAAGTTCGCCCAACTCTGAGGTGGGGCAAGCAGCTGGGCCTTGGAAGGGAACCTCAACCTCTGGGCAAGTGGCTCTAAGCTGCTCGGGGCTTTTGAGGTTGGCACCTGCCTTTCACTTTACAAGGAAACTTCCAGGGCAGCTTAAAAAACAAAAACATAAAAACAAAGCTCTTTTAATAAAAACACTCTATAGCTGCACTGCATTTCAAATTGTTCTTTCTTTCTTTCTGCTGTTAAACTGCTTTGAGGTGCTTTATAGGAAGTAATTCATAAATAGAATCGAACAAATAATAATAACGGGAGGAATTGCAGTGCAGCAACATAGAAGTAAACATCAACAGCATTCAAAGCAGATTTAAATGAGGAAATAAAAGAGAAACCAAAGGCCTGGGCAAATACAGAAGTATCCTGCTGGTGCTGAAAATGCAAAAGCGTCAGCACCACAGTGAACTACTCTGGGGAGACAGTCCTGAAGACAGGGCTCCCATTCCAGGATCACAAATGACTGTGCAGGAGATCCCTACCTGCTCCCCTGGACAGTCACTCCAAGTGAGATTACCGGGTTATGTGGATTCAGAAAGCAGCTTTGCATGCTCAGGATAGTAGCCAGCCACTTTCTTTCCTGGCCTCTTGCTGAATTTGAATCCATGTCCCTCCTATTTTCCACTGAATAACCTTCAAGCCAAGCAGCGCTCCAAATCCTCTGCCCTTAGTGAATGATTATTCCAGCACTGCCCAGTATATGACTTACGGTAAACTGTGGTGGTTATCCTCTGATATTTCGGCTCTGTCCCCCCACAGGTAGCAAAACACAACGGCTTTGGTTCCCACTCAGTAACACTGGTGAGATTGAAGGCTTTCCAAGTAGGCCCAGTCCCTGCAGCAACGGTCTGTAAGCTGGTCTCCAAGCCAATGTTCACACAGTTGGAACTGCAGTTTAATACCATGGAATCTCCATACTTCACTACAGGCTTTTCTGGCCAAATCCTCAAGTAGTAGTCCTCTTGTTGAGCACCTGAAAACACAATAGATACGAAATGGAAACAAGAAGAATTACCGACAAAGAAGAGTGGCAAATGAAGTTAATGGACTATGCAAAATTAGATAAATTAACAGGAAGGATTCAAAACCTGCGGGATCAGAGATTCTTAGAAGACTGGAGTAAATATTTGAACTATTTAAAAAGCAATTGTAATAAACAGATTATGCTAGTAGGACTTCAAGAAGTTCTGTAAGGAGGAATGTGTGAAATATCGCAATGAAGATTATGAAGAGAATTAATAGTTAATGATAATTAAAAGTAATAGAGAATGGCCCTTGTGGTCTCTTCCAACTCTATGATTCTATGATTCTAAGAAATACAGAATAAATGACAAAGTATGGAAAATCTTCAGAGGCTGTTGATGGAAGTCTAAAATATTGTATAAGATAAGAATTTATGTTAAATGATTGTTGGAAATGATATGTTAAAAAATCAATAAAAATGTACAAAAAAAAAGAAAACACAATAGATACAACATGTACAAAAATGCAATACTAAATAGTTCTTAATTTAAAAAACCCCAATAAGAAGCAATAAAATGGTGAGATTACAGTGGGGAAAAAGAAGCAAGGAAAAGGCAAAAGAAAGAAAGTAGTAATACCAAATAAGGAGAACTCAATAAGGTGAACTCTGCAGTTCCACAGATTGTTTCCCTTATCTCCTTCAGTCCAGAATACGCCTGTTTTTAGCCAAATCTTATTAATTTTTAAGAAACAGGTGTCCCTGCTCTAGAGAATGACTCCAGAGAGTGCCCAGTTTCTGTGCCAGGCTTGGCACCCAAAGTCCTCTGCCGCCACATCTTGTTTTAATGGATGACATATTAGTGTATTTTTGGTCTTTGTGGAAGCCGCCCAGTGTGGCTGGGGAAACCCAGCCAGATGGGCGGGGTACAAATAATAAATTGTTGTTGTTGTAGTTGCAGCAGCGGCCAGATAACGGACTCCGCGGGTGAGACAGCCCTCTCCTACCCAGGAGAGGTTGGCAGGACTAATTACCCTCATATTAGCTCTGAATTTCTGGCACGACTGAGGGTCCAACCTCATGGGAAACAGCCATTTCCCTCAGCAGGAAACATAACTCAGCTGATAAAGCATGAGACTCAGGGTTGTGGGTTTGAGCCCCACGTTGGGCAAAATATTCCTACACTGCAGGGGGTTGGACTAGACTATCCTCATAATCTAACTCTACAATTCTGTGCTCCTTCTGGGGTAGTTTGTCCACCTTTGATCCCCACCCAGCTCTCTCCTGTGGCTCCTTGAAGCTGTTGGCATGTGACAGCGGCCACACCCCAGAAATGGCTTTGACTGGCCAGCTTAACCACATGAGGGTACCCAATGGGACTTCCCCTGCATGTGAAGACAGGCTCTGGCAGATTAAGTGGAGGAAACCAATAGTGGACACAATGGTCAAGAATGTGTTTTCTGCACGTGCTGTAGAGGGAAATGAGGGGCAGATGGGGATCATCAACCTGGGAAGGCAGCCCATCTAGGAGCAGGAAACTCTGATCCTAAACCTCCACTGCCTTGTGGTTATACTCATTCATGAGAAAGGCTTTGGGCATAAACCCTGACAAGAAATCCATACCTGCTGCATCACAGGACATATTCAGGAGAAGGAGGAAACCCTACACAAATTCAGATAATAATAATATAATAAATTTTATTTATATCCCGCCCTCCCCAGCCGAAGCCGGGCTCAGGGCGGCTAACAACAATAAAACAATACAAAAGTACAGCATAAACAACACTCTAAAATCATTCATTATAAAGTTAATTAATTCAAGCCACTGGCAACCATTGGGCCAGAGCTCCGCGAAGATTGCCGAGGAAGGGAGTCAGGCTGTGCCCTGGCCAAAGGCCTGGTGGAACAGCTCTGTCTTGCAGGCCCTGTGGAAAGATGTCAAGTCCCGCAGGGCCCTGGTCTCTTGTGACAGAGTGTTTCACCAGATCAGAGCCACAGCCGAAAAAGCCCTGGCTCTAGTTGAGGCCAGCCTAACTTCTCTGTGGCCTGGGACCTTCAAGATGTTTTTATTTGAAGACCGTATGTTTCTCTGTGGGGCATACCAGGAGAGGCGGTCCCGTAGGTCCTAGGCCGTATAGGGCTTTAAAGGTTAAAACCAGCACCTTAAACCTGATCCTGTACTCCACCGGGAGCCAGTGCAGCTGGTATAGCACCGGGTGAATGTGATCTCGCAGCGAAGACCCCGTAAGGAGTCTCGCTGCAGCATTCTGGACCCGCTGGAGTTTCTGGGTCAGTCTCAAGGGCAGCCCCACGTAGAGCGAGTTACAATAATCCAGTCTGGAGGTGACTGTCGCGTGGATCACAGTGGCTAGGTCAGGGCAAGAGAGGTAAGGAGCCAACTGCTTAGCTTGGCGGAGATGGAAAAATGCCACCTTTGTTGTAGCTGCCATCTGTGCCTCCATGGAAAGGGAGGTGTCGAAGATTACACCCAAACTCTTAACGGACGGTGCTGGCATTAATTGCGCCCCCGCAAGAGATGGGAGTTGCCCCCCCAATACCATATCGTCCCGTCCCAGCCACAGGACCTCTGTCTTCGAAGGATTTAGCTTCAACCGGCTCCCACGTAACCATCCAGCCACAGCTTCCAAACATCTGGTCAGTGTGTCTGGGGCCGAGTCAGGATGGCCATCCATCAGCAGATAGAGTTGGGTGTCATCAGCATACTGATGGCAACCCAGCCCAAAACTCCGAACAAGCTGGGCGAGGGGGCGCATAAAGATGTTGAAAAGCATCGGGGAGAGTATCGCACCCTGAGGTACTCCACACACCAAGGAGTGGAGTCCAAAAGATTTTGGCCTTGTATGCCTCTTTCCGGCAACTCTTGCAGCCAGCTGGTACCAAGAGTATCGCTCTGCTTTCCTTTGGACCACATCAGTGAGGCCGGGAGAGGGGGTCTTGTTGTCTGGGCAGCCCAGGACCTTCATACATACTATCCAAGCTTGTGCCCCACAGAGGTCACTTCGGGGCTGCGAACACAGCAAATACAACGCAGGAGTCAGCAGTTACCAGTTACCAGTCTCTGCAGCCACAGCAGGCGCTATGATTCTCCAGCGGTTTGACTCCCCCCCAAGAGGCGCACTCCATTGTGTCCATTGAGACAGACGGATGCCAACAACAACAAATGATATTTTAAATCAGGCATAGGCAAACTCCGGCCCTCCAGATGTTTGGGACTACAACTCCCATCACCCCTAGCTATCAGGACCAGTGGTCAGGGATGATGGGAATTGTAGTCCCAAACATCTGGAGAGTCAGAGTTTGCCTATGCCTGATTTAAATCCATTAATGGTACTGATTAGCCATTGAAATACTGGAGTCCTTTTGCTTCTATTTTTAAACAGAGGCTTCTGTACGAGGAACCAATGCCTTCTCCTCCCTCCCCCATGATTCCTGAGAATTAAGAACAGAGGCACTGTGATAGACATGCTTTAGGTGTGACTTTAAATCTCCTTTGAGGAGACTTTTAGGCTTCCTTTTTCCTTTGTTTAATGACTCACTTTTTGACTTGCTCTTTAAACTGCTGCCAGTAGATCAAGAAGAGGAATTCCCTGCCGCTCCTTATTCTGATAAGTGCTGAAAGAAAATCAGACCCTTTCCAGGAATGGCTCAACTCACCAAGTGAATTACAAGAAGAAATACTGGGGCGGGAAGGAGGAATACATCAAACCCTTGGAATGCAAGGCTACACAAACACACAGACTAGGGAGCGCAAGCCGCAGAAAACACAGAGGAACCTAACTCTGCCAACATGCGTATAAAGGTAAAAGTAAAGGGACCCCTGATCGTTAGGTCCAGTCGTGGTTGCTATCTCCCCAGAAGAAATATTCCTTATCTACATCTAACCCTTCCATCCCAATAATCTCACTTTGCAAATAAACTGAAATACTGGTAATAGTACTGGGACCTTCAATCTGGAAACTTCCATTCACATAACTCAGAGTGAAATGCTAATTTCTCAGGACCTCACTTAAGCAGATGTTTGTTTTGGGGAAACACTTTGAAGGACTATGGGGAATCTGTGATTAGATGTCTCTTTAAAACAAAAACTTAGCAGCTGGGGGGGGGGGCGCTGAAGAAGAGCTTTAGACTGCCTCCCTCCCAAAGTAGTATTTGTCCCATAAGGGAAAACAAGTATCGTATGGTTGGCATCTGTCTGTCTCAGGAGACAATGGAAGAGTGCACCTCAGGAGTGAAGTCAAAAATGAATTGGGATTTTTATTTTGTGAGGTGGTGGGTTCCACTTTAAGGCTGACAGCTTAATTTAGAATAGGAAGATAACTGCTTTAAAAAACCCAGTAACAGTGCAGCTTATTCACCCCCACAAAAGGAGTAATATCGTAATTCAAACCTTGCCCACCTTACCCCCCAGCTCTGAACACCTAGGATTCCTCATGACTCAATGGAGTATTCAGCATGGACCCTATAATCACATTCGCTGTGGTTGGGAGTGGAGAATGATAGGGAGAAATCCCCTTTTAGTTATGAACTGTGAACATGGCAGGGTGCTTAAAGCAACTTTTTAAGAGTGCAACCCTATACGTCTATCATAACGTCTACTCAATAAGTTAAGTCACATTGAGAAAGTTAAGTGCTCAACAATTCACAGACACTAAAATATACCCCCCCCCAAAAAAAAACCCTGAGTGTGGCAAAAAGGATATAAAAGTTTGTGTTGGGTATATAACAATGCCACTCAGAAAAGCATTTTGGCGCAGTGGAGAGGTGACAAACACGAGCAGCCTTCATGGCGAAGGTGGGGAGGCAGAGCTGAATCTGGACTTTCCACATGCAAACTCAATACTGTAGCCCAAGCCTCCCAACCTGATGTCCTTTAGATATTCCAACTACTACAACTCCCATCATTCCTAACTACAGTGGTACCTCGGGTTACAAACTTAATTCGTTCTGGAGGTCCGTTCTTAACCTGAAACTGTTCTTAACCTGAGGTACCACTTTAGCTAATGGGGCCTCCTGCTGCCGCCGCTGCGTGATTTCTGTTCTCATCCTGAAGCAAAGTTCTTAACCAGAGGTACTACTTCTGGGTTAGCAGAGTCTGTAACCCGAGGTGTTTATAACCCGAGGTACCACTGTATTCACCAATGGGAGTTGAAATCTCCCTCAGGAGGTGGTGAACGCTCCTTCGTTGGAGGCTTTTAAGCAGAGATTGTATGGTCCATCTGTCATGGCTGCTTTAGCTGAGATTCCTGCATTGCAGAGGGTTGGACTAGATGACCCTCAGGGTCCCTTCCAACTCTAAAATCCTATGATTCTATGATTCTTTTAGTCTAGTATCTGGAGGGCACCAGTTTTTGGAAGCCTGTCATCAAACACTGCCTGTTTTGTCTGGCAAAGGGATGCACCTACACGTGATGCCGAACATTCATGATTAGGGTTGCAATCCTCTGCACACACAACTAGGAGTTGTTGCTGGCATCCATTTGTCTCGAGGGAGAAGGCATCACCAGGGGTGAAGTCAAACTGCTGGAGAATCATAGTGTCTGCTGTGGCTGCAGAAACTGGTAACTGGTAACTACTGCTTCCTGCATTTTTAAAATGTGTTAGCAGCACCAAAATGACCTCCCTGGGGCATTTGTACGGAGGTCCTGGGCTTGCCAGATGGCAAGACTGATATGGTCTGCATCATGTCTGTATCAGAGTGAAAAAGTTTTTGAAAGCCACATGGCAGCAACTTGTATTTGCCACTGAGTGCCGCTCAGGGCTGGGCATTCCAGACTTCGTCTCTGGGGAGTTTCCCCAGGCCACAACCTCTATCTGGCCCTGTTCTGAACCACCCCCCAGTGCGTTTCCCTGCCTTAAACTGTGACGATGCCTCCCATGCGCCTGGACAGGGAGGACGTGCGTGTGGAAACCCCCGATTCTTGTGCGGCTGGAACGCGTTCTGTGCAAAGATTAGAGTCACACCCATTGCTCTGCTCACCTTTTGCGTCTGGCCTTGCCATGCAGTCCCCCTCAGGCTGAAAATGGCTCCCCACCCCTGGTGCACAACTAATCTTGCCTTTCTGATGAGCATATTATGTCTGTGTATCTCAATCCAGCTCCTCTCAACTCCCATACATCAATACATATGGGGGAGAGGGGTCATTTGAATTGAGGGAAAATAGGCATTTGGAATTCCACAAGGAAGACTAAAGTACAAAATGGCTTTAGTGCTGAGTATTTTCATTATATAAATTTGTGGGTTGGTTTGTTAGCTATTCCCCCCCCCCCATTCTCTGTTCTATGTAACTCCAGAGATGCACCCGCTTCCAAAGGCTGTGTTCTCTGAACCAGTGAAGCAAAACTGTGTCTCCACTCTTAAGACAAATGCAGTGGATATCTACAAGGCAGCAAGAATGCAAACACAATGCTGGGAGAGAATTCTCTCTGGGCCCGGGGACATGAACATATGAAGCTGTCAGACAGCTGGTTCATCTAGAGAGTGGCCAAGAGTAGGCAAACTTCAAGCTTGTTAGAAATACCTTGTTTTTAATAAGAACCCCAAGATCTACAAACCAGAGGCAGGTGCAAAAGACATACAGTTAGAATTAAAGATCTGAGCATGTTCTTCTTCTAGGGATTTCTTTTTAGTACCAGAACTGAACTGAGTTCTGATCACGTCCTTTTACACACACACAAAAAGGTCTACTTATTGTTTAGCTTTCTTCATCTCACCATTCTAATTTTAGACAGAAAAAGAAATGTTGCTTTAAAAACAGCTGGGAGTCAGAAAGCTGCAAACCCAGAGACCAGTCAGAAGACCTGCCCTCTGCCTAGCAGTTCTCTCCAAGGTCTCGATAGTGACTCTCCAGCCTTGGGACCTGGGATCCTTCTAGCTAGTGATTCTACCAGGAAGTGGACCTGGGCTGTTCTGCATTCAAAGCATGTGTTTGAACCCTGGGCTTTTGCCCTCCTGGACATTTTACCTACATTGAGCTGAGCTTGAGGTGGCTGCCCAACAGGACCCAAACAATCACAGAACCAGAGAATGTTTCCACCAGAGATTGGAATGGTGTGTATGTTGTGATTTGCTCTTAGTGAATGTGAACTCATACTTTGGCACCATAGCAATTTTTTTTAAAGTTTCACAACTGTGTCTGTTTCATCTGCTCTAACTGAAATTTTAATTGAAGCCAGCTGCATTTACATCTTTCTTGTTTCCTTCTTGTAATTTTGCACTACTAGAGTTCATGAACCATAGAATGAATTCATTTTCATTCACTTCTCACACTCCTGAGTCCTTCCATAGATATACTAATCAGTTCACTCACAGAATCAGGCAGAAGGTACCTTCTTTATGAGTAAAAAAAAAATATGTTCGAGGAGGAAAAAGTACACTCAGCTGTTTGTGTGAAAGTAGCCAGAAATGAATTGCTGCTGCTTTTCTCATTCCAGGAAGCATCACACCAAGGTCAAGCAAAACTCAGGGTTTCCCCCAGCTAAGAAAGGTGCAACCCTGCACCTCCGCCCAAGAGAAGGGGAGGCTGGGCGATTCACGGCACCCCCTTCCCTCCTCAAGCCTGGAGGGGCCAGCAAGCAGGGGAAAGCCGAGAGCCCGAAATCAAAGAAGCCCTCTCCAAGTCCTGTCCAACCTCTTTTCAATGCCGTGGCGCAACCCTGTGAAGTCTGGCTCAGAGAAAGTGCCTCTGAGCATGCGGAGAGTGCATTTCTGACCCTTCGCCCCTTCTTCTAAAACGGCGAGCACGCGGTCTAGGCCTCCGAGCCTCGCCCTCGCCCGCCCCGGGACCGGCGGGACAGGCGGACAGGGGCGCCCGGAAGGCCGACTCCCTTCGCCCCCTTACCTTGCGCGGCGGAGCAAGCGGCCGAGGCGAGCAGGAGGAGGGCGGCGGGCAGGCGCGGCATGGCGCGGAGCGGGCGCGGCATGGCGCGGAGCGGGCGCGGGCGACGCCGAGTCAGTCCCGCCAGGCTGCCGCCGGAGCATCCGCTTGTGGCGCCCGAAGCCTCTCGCCCGAGGTTTATACGCCCCGAGGCGGTTCCGGGAAAGGCTCCGCTCACGAGGGTCGGGGAAACTCCCGCCGCCGCCGCCCGGCCCCCTTTCCGGGCCGGCCTCCTGGGGGCGGCGAGGGGCCGCGCTCGTCACGGAGCCGGGCCGGGGCCGCCCTGGGAGAGGCTTGGCCGCTTGCCCTTCCGCTCCCCCGTGGGCACCAGGCGCCCCCTCAGCGCTCGGCCCTCAGGGAAGCCCCGTCTCGGTCGGGACAACGCCAAACCGATTCCTCCGCTGCCTGCTCTCCGGGGGGCAGGAACTGCGCGGTTTATTCGGCGGCCTCGGGCGAAGAATTCTGCCCAAAAGCTTTGTGAAAGTCAGGCTATCCTGGACAACTCTAAAAAAGGAGTGAAGCAGCCTTTCGTACCCCTCCATAGTTGTGGGCGAGTTGTGTGTCTCCTCCAGCACCATCATTCAAAAGCATCCATTCTTTGGCGATCAGCCTTCTTTCTGGTCCAGCTCTCACTTCCATACATCACTACTGGGAAAACCATGGCTTTAACTATATGGACCTTTGTTGGCAAGGTGATGTCTCTGCTTTTTAAGATGCTGGCATATTGAGTGTAGCACCTTAACAGCATCATTGTTTAAATTTTTAAATTTTAAATAGAATACCATCACTTCCACTGGCCTTGTTATTAGCAGTGCTTTCTAAGGCCCATTTGACTTCACTCTCCAGGATGTCTGGCTCAAGGTCAGCACCACACTACCTGGGGTGTACGAGATCCATATCTTTCTGGTATAGTTCCTCTGTGTATTCTTGCCGCCTCTTCTTGATGTCTTCTGCTTCTGTTAGGTCCTTTCCACTTTTGTCCTTTATTATGGTAATCTTTGTACAAAATGTTCCTTTCATATCTCCAATTTTCTTGAACAGATCTCTGGTTCTTCCCATCCTGTTGTTTTTTTAATAATAATAATAATAATATCTTTATTGTCATTGCCCCCTTCGGGGACAACGAAATTACTTGACTGCTCCATAAAAACACCAATTAAACAATACAGTATAATACAGCAAGGGAGATTAGATGACTTTCAAAGTCCGGGCTTCCCATTCAGGGCCGAGATCGCTCTGGAGAAGAAGCTGTTCTTAAGACGGCTCGTTCTTGTCTTCATCGTCCTGTATCTCCGTCCCGACGGCAAGAGCTCGAAGAGACAGTGACCAGGATGCGATGGATCTTTTACTATGTCCAGTGCCTTCCTATGGCACCTTGTGGCATAAATCTGCTCTAAGGTGGAGAGTGGGCAGCCAACAATGCTCTCTGCTGCCTTAACAACCCTGCACAACCCCATCCTGTCCTGGGTAGTACAGCTTCCGTACCACACACATAAGCCATAAGTTTTCCCCTATTTCTTTGCATTGCTCGTTTAAGAAGGCCTTCTTGTCTCTCCTTGCTATTTTTTGGAATTATGCATTCAATTTCCTGTATCTTTCACTATCTCCCTCGCATTTTGCTTGCCTTCTCTCCCCCACTATTTGTAAGGCCTCGTTGGACAGCCACTTTGCTTTCTTGCATTTCCTTTTCATTGGGATTGTTTTAGTTGCTGCCTCCTGTATAATGTTACGAGCCTCCATCCATAGTTCTTCAGGCACTCTGTCCACCAAATCTAAATCCTTAAACCTGTTCCTCACTTCCACTGTGTATTCATAAGGGATTTGATTTATATTGTATCTTACCGGTCCAGTGGTTTTTCCTACTTTCTTCAGTTTAAGCTGGAATTTTGCTATAAGAAGCTGATAATCTGAGCCACAGTCAGCTCCAGGTCTTGTTTTTGCTGACTGTATAGAGCTTCTCCATCTTTGGCTGCAGAGAATATAATCAATCTGATTTCGATGCTGCCCATCTGGTGATGTCCATGTGTAGAGTCGTCTCGTGTTGTTGGAAAAGAGTGTTTGTGATGACCAGCTTGTTCTCTTGGCAGAACTCTATTAGCCTTTGCCCTGCTTCATTTTGAACTCCAAGGCCAAACTTGCCAGTTGTTCCTTTTGTCTCTTGACTCCCTACTTTAGCATTCCAATCCCCTATAATGAGAAGAACATCCTTCTTTGGTGTCACTTCTATAAGGTGTTGTAAGTCTTCATAGAATTGGTCAATTTCAGTTTCTTCAGCACCAGTGGTTGGTGCATAAACTTGGATTACTGTGATGTTAAAAGGTCTGCCTTGGATTCGTATCGAGATCATTCTATCATTTTTGAGATTGCATCCCAGTACAGCTCCCGCCACTCTTTTGTTGACTATGAGGGCCACTCCATTTCTTTTACGGGATTCTTGCCCACAGTAGTAGATTGTCATCCGAACTGAATTCGCCCATTCCCATCCATTTTAATTCACTGATGCCCAGGATGTCAATATTTATTCTTGCCATCTCATTTTTTACCACATCCAACTTACCAAGATTCATAGTTCTTACATTCCAGGTTCCTATGCAATATTTTTCATTACAGCATTGGACTTTTCTTTCGCTTCCAGGCATATCCGCAACTGAGTGACCTTTCGGCTTTGGCCCAGCCGCTTCATCAGCTCTGAATCTACTTGTACTTGTCCTCCGCTCTTCCTCAGTAGCATGTTGGACGCCTTGGGACCTGAGGGACTCATCTTCCAGTGTCATAAGCTTTATATGCCTGTTGTCTTGGTCCATGGAGTTTTCTTGGCAGGGATACCAGAGTGGCTTGCCGGTTCCTGCTTCAGGTGGATCACGTTTGGTCAAAACTCTCCACTATGACCTGTCCATCTTCCTCAGTAGCATGTTGGACGCCTTCCGACCTGAGGGGCTCAATTTCCAGCATCTACTCTTTTTTGAAAACTAAAATTCCCATGATCCACTGATGTGCCTTCCATTTTATAACCTGACTGCAAAGTCAGGTTCTTCTAACAGTAAGGCACAGCTCAGCTCACCTGCTACATGAGGACGTAGAAGGTGCCTCTGCACCTGAGCCTTTGTGTGCTGCTAAGGCATCACATTTCCAAAATCAGCAGAATGCAGAATTAAAATGGTTGTTCTAGCACTCTCTTTCTCCATAAGAATACCATAATGCTTGTTCTCATGGAGAAGATCTCAAGCTCAGTTGGTTATAGTGTGGTGCTCATAGTGCCAAGGTTGCAGGTTTAATCTCTGTATGGAACAGCTGCATATTCCTGCATTGCAGCGGGTTGGACTAGAATCATAGAATCATAGAATCATAGAGTTGGAAGAGACCACAAGGGCCATCGAGTCCAACCCCCTGCCAAGCAGGAAACACCATCAGAGCACTCCTGACATATGGTTGTCAAGCCTCTGCTTAAAGACCTCCAAAGAAGGAGACTCCACCACACTCCTTGGCAACAAATTCCACTGTCGAACAGCTCTTAATGTCAGGAAGTTCTTCCTAATGTTTAGGTGGAATCTTCTTTCTTGTAGTTTGGATCCATTGCTCCGTGTCCGCTTCTCTGGAGCAGCAGAAAACAACCTTTCTCCCTCCTCTATGTGACATCCTTTGATATATTTGAACATGGCTATCATATCACCCCTTAACCTCCTCTTCTCCAGGCTAAACATGCCCAGCTCTCTTAGCCGTTCCTCATAAGGCATCGTTTCCAGGCCTTTGACCATTTTGGTTGCCCTCCTCTGGACACGTTCCAGTTTGTCGGTGTCCTTCTTGAACTGTGGTGCCCAGAACTGGACACAGTACTCCAGGTGAGGTCTGACCAGAGCAGAATACAGTGGCACTATTACTTCCCTTGATCTAGATGCTATACTCCTATTGATGCAGCCCAGAATTGCATTGGCTTTTTAGCTGCCGCGTCACACTGTTGGCTCATGTCAAGTTTGTGGTCAACCAAGACTCCTAGATCCTTTTCACATGTACTGCTCTCAAGCCAGGTGTCACCCATCTTGTATTTGTGCCTCTCATTTTTTTGCCCAAGTGCAATACTTTACATTTCTCCCTGTTAAAATTCATCTTGTTTGTTTTGGCCCAGTTCTCTAATCTGTCAAGGTCGTTTTGAAGTGTGATCCTGTCCTCTGGGGTGTTAGCCACCCCTCCCAATTTAGTGTCATCTGCAAATTTGATCAGGATGCCCTTGAGTCCATCATCCAAGTCGTTGATAAAGATGTTGAATAAGACCGGGCCCAAGACAGAACCCTGTGGCACCCCACTAGTCACTCTTCTCCAGGATGAAGAGGAACCATTGATGAGCACCCTTTGGGTTCGGTCAGTCAGCCAGTTACAAATCCACTGAGTGGTAGCATAGTCAAGACCACATTTTACCAGCTTCTTTACAAGAATATCATGAGGCACCTTGTCAAATGCCTTGCTGAAATCAAGGTAGGCTACATCCACTGCGTTCCCTTCATCTACCAGGCTTGTAATTCTGTCAAACACGAGATCAGGTTAGTCTGACATGACTTATTTTTCAGAAATCCATGCTGACTATTGGTGATCACAGCATTCCTTTCTAGGTGCTCACAGACTGTTTGCTTAATGATCTGCTCCAGAATCTTTCCTGGAATTGATGTCAGACTGACTGGGCGGTAATTATTTGGGTCCTCTCTTTTCCCCTTTTTGAAAATAGGGACAACATTTGCCCTCCTCCAGTCTGCCGGGACTTCGCCTGTTCTCCAGGAATTCTCAAAGATGACTGCCAGTGGTTCTGAGATCACATCTGCCAGTTCTTTTAATACTCTTGGATGCAGTTCGTCTGGCCCTGGAGACTTGAATACATCTAAACTAGCCAAGTATTCTTGTACTATCTCCTTAGTTATTCTGGGCTGTGTTTCCTTTGCTGAATCATTTGCTCCAAATTCTTCAGGTCGGGCATTGTTTTCTTTATCGGAGAAGACTGAGGCAAAGAAGGCATTGAGGAGTTCAGCTCTTTCTGTGTCCCCTGTTTGCACTTCACCATCTTCTCCTCTGAGTGACCCCACTGTTTCTTTGTTCTACCTTTTGCTACGAACATACCCATAAAAGCCTTTTTTGTTGCTTTTAACATCTCTAGCAAGCCTGAGTTCATTCTGTGCTTTAGCTTTTCTGACTTTGTGTCTACACGTGCTGGCTATTTGTTTGAATTCCTCTTTGGTGGTTTCGCCCCTTTTCCATTTTTTGTACACATCCTTTAATCTTAACTCAGTTAAAAGCTCTTTAGATAGCCACCCTGGCTTCTTTAGGCACCTTCCATGTTTCCGTCTCATTGGTATTGCCTGACGTTGTGCTTTTAGTATCTCCCTCTTAACAAACTCCCAGCCATCATGAACTCCCTTTCCTTTTAGTATTACTGTCCATGGGATCTCACCCAGCACTTCCCTAAGTTTTATGAAGTCAGCTTTCTTAAAGTCAAGAAATTGAGTCCTAGTATGCTTGGCTACTCCTTTCCGCTGTATAGTAAACTTCAGAAGAGCATGATCACTCGCGCCTAATGATCCTTCCACTTCTACCCCACTAACCAGGTCATCAACATTGGTTAGGACCAGATCTAAAATGGCTGTTCCTCTTGTTGCTTCTCCCACTTTCTGCACAATGAAGTTGTCTGCAAGGCCAGTGAGGAATCTGTTTGACCTTATGCTCTTGGCTGAGTTTGACATCCAACAAATATCCGGGTAATTGAAGTCCCCCATTACTACTATCTCCCTTCCTTTTGCATGCTTGGCCATCTGTTCCAGGAAGGCATCATCTATGTCCTCCGTTTGGCTTGGGGATCTATAGTAAACTCCCACAATGAGGTCACTGTTATTCTTCTCTCCCTTAATTTTGACCCAAATGCTCTCACTTTGGCTTTGAGGTTCTAAATCTTGGATCTCTTCACAGGTATACACATCCCTGACATATAACGCCACTCCTCCTCCTTTCTTGTCTGGTCTGTTTCTCTGAAATAGATTGTATCCCCCCATTATTACATTCCAATTGTGGGACTTATCCCACCAGGTTTCAGTGATGCCTATTATGTCATATTTAGTTTGCTGTACCAAGGGCTCAAGCTCATCTTGTTTATTTCCCATTCTTTGCGCATTAGTGTACAGACATTGAAGTCCATTAATCATTCCCCCGTGACTCTTATTTAAGGATTTTTTCCTCCCACCACTAGGTCTGTGTGCTGTTTGCTCCATTTGGTCTATGACATTTGGATGATCATCTTCATCAATTGATAGACTCCTACCTTCAGGAGCACTGTCTCCCTCCCCACATTAGTCAGTTTAAAGCCCTCCTGATGAGGTTTCTGAGATTTTTGGCAAAAACATTTCTCCCAACCGTTGTGAGGTGCAGCCCATCGCTTGCCAGAAGTCCATCTTCAAGAAACTGCAGTCCGTGATCTAAGAATCCAAACCGTTCCTGTTTACACCATTTGCGAAGCCAGCTGTTCACTTCCACTATTTTCCCCTCTCTCCCTGGGCCACGTCGTTCAACTGGGAGGACAGATGAGATCACAATTTGTGCATTTAATTGCTTCAATTTCCTGCCCAGAGCCTCGTAGTCTCTTTTGATCTTCTGGAGGCTATTGCTTGCAGTGTCATTGGTTCCCACATGAACCAAGAGGAAGGGGTATTTGTCAGTGGGTTTTATGATTCCTTGCAGTCGTTCAGTTACATCTTGGATCTTAGCCCCGGGAGACAGCACACTTCCCGAGACATCTTGTCAGGCCCACAGATCACTGCTTCTGTTCCCTCAGTAGGGAATCCCCTATCACCACTACACGCCTCCTCTTAGGTTTGGTCGGGGTTCTTCCGTGAGCTGTCCGCTCCAAGGTCGCCTGCACATTCCCTGAGGACTGACTTTGCTGCTCGTCTTCATATACCTGATCGACTGTAATGAGGGGAGATCCTCAAATGGAGTCTGCTCTTCGTCTTCCATGCTAGGGGAGAGGACCTCAAAGCGATTGTGTATTTCTAAACAATCAGAGCGAACCCTGGGCCTCCTACTTCTTTGAGTCACGTTTCTCCATATATCTGGCTCCTGTGTTGGTGAACTAGCGTCGGTGTCTGGGTAGTCCCCTGTCTCCTCCTTGGTGGAGACGGTGTGCTCTGTTGCTTCCAAGAAGAGCTCCAGCTCTCTAATTCTTTGGAGCGTAGCTACACGTTCCTCCAGTTGCTGGACTTTGTCTTTTAAGAGGGCAATCAACATGCAATTGCTGCAGGTAAAGCTGCCTGCAACCTTTGGCAAGATGGCAAACATTGCGCAGGAACCGCAGGCGACTGCAGCTGTTCCCTCCCCCTCCATCTTGAGAACGTGTCGTTGGGGGTGGCTACAGTGGTCCTCCATCATAAAAAGCGTGAAGACAGGAAAAATAACTCCCCCCACAAAAAAACCTAGGTCTCCCCCAACAAACGTTTGAGACTAGCTCCCGTAAATCTAAAAGATGGATCAAACTGAGTGCGCCACTGCCCTGCAAGCTCTGATAAGCTCCTCCCACAGCTAATCACCTGCCTCAACAGAAACCCTGCCCCCTCTGACCTTTGCACAGGGAGAGCAGCCAATCAGCCACAAAGAAACACACACACACACACACACACACACACACAAAAACCCTTTTTGCTCCTTCTTCAACTGCTGCCCTGCAAGCTCTGATAAGCTCCTCCCACAGCTAATCACCTGCCTCAACAGAAACCCTGTCCCCTCTGACCTTTGCACAGGGAGAGCAGCCAATCAGCCACAAAGAAACACACACACACACACACACACACACAAGAAAACCCTTTTTGCTCCTTCTTCAACTGCTGCCCTGCAAGCTCTGATAAGCTCCTCCCACAGCTAATCACCTGCCTCGACTAGATGATCCTCAGGGTCCCTTCCAAAACTACAATTCTATTATTCTACTTATTTCCTCAAGTACTTACTTCTAGACTGAATTGCTGCAATGCTCTGTTTGGACTTGCTTTTAGAAACAGCCTAGAAATGTCATCTGGTGGGAAATGGTGCTGCCATACAGCCCCTACGGAATCAGTAAAGCAGTTGCCTGGAACTCAAAGATAGTAGAATATAACCAAACTTGTTCCGCCTGCATTGGCTGCCTCTTGGTCTATGGGTTCCGTTAAAAGTACAGTGGTACCTTGGTTTTCGGAGTAGTGTTTTGTATATTGCGGATACCGTCCCTTTACCGTTTCCCTTTGTTGTTAGGAGGAGGTTTTCAAAGGTTGTCAGGGGCCTAGTTGCTGCTGATTTTACTGTTGGGTTGTTTAAGAGGGCATGTAGTTGGTGTTGTGTTAACCAGGGCATTTGGGTGTCTTCTAGTTTGTCTTGTATTTCTTGTGTTGACAAGGGTTTGTTATTTTTATAAAAGTCTATTAGGCGATATAAGCCTTTGGTTCGCCAGGTTTTTATCTTGAGGTTTTGTGCTGCATGGTGGAATAATGGGTGGTACGCCAGGGGGATTAGTGGGGATGGGGTTGGGGATAGTTTGCCTATTTGTGTTTTCCATGCTTTGAGCATGGTCTGTGTGTACCTGTTAAGTGTTGTGGGAATTTTCTTTAGTTTGTTTGGGAGGAGTGGGTATGTTGTGGTGCAGGTGTTTTCAATTGTGTCCCTCTCTAGGTGTACCCATTGTTTTGTCTCATCTTCTAGTATATATGGGATTATGTGGCGTATTTGGTTGGCATTGTAATATGCTTCTATGTTGGGGATTCCCCATCCTCCTTCTGAGGTGGGGAGGTGCAGGTATTTGGGGCTTATTCTTGGTTTTTATGTGAGAAGATGAAAGAGTGTAGTTTTCTCTGCCAACTGCGAAGTTGGGTTGAGGGATCCAGATTGGGAGGGTTTGGAATAGGTAGATTAGTTTTGGGAGTGTGATCATTTTGATCATGGCTATTTTGTCTGAGAGAGTGAAGTTCATGTTATTCCATCTCTTTAGGTCTTTGTTAATTTGTCGCCACAGGGGCTTGTAGTTGTGGAGGTACAATTTATTGAGGTTTCTGGTTATTTGTACCCCTAGGTATCTGAACTTGGTGTGGCAAAGTTTTATTTTGGTGACCTTCGTGAGTTCTTTTTGGGTGTGAGGAGGGGTGTTGAAGCACATAGCTTCTGACTTTGTAAAATTTACCTGTAGGCCCGACACCATTGCAAATGTGTTGAGTTCTCTGATTAGGGAGGTTGCTGTGCTTATGGGGTCTGGTGTTGTGACCATTAGGTCATCTGCAAAGAGCCCTAATTTATAGGTTCTGCCTTTTATTTCCACTCCCTTGATGTCTGTGGCTGCTCGGATGCGGATTGCTAGGGGTTCCAGAGCCAGGATAAATAAGAAGGGAGACAGTGGCATCCTTGTTTCGTGCCTCTTTGGATAGCTATAGTGTTAGAATCCATATTGTTAGTTCTGCATTTTGCTGAGGCTTGGGAGTATATTTGTTTGAGGATTTGTAGGAAGTTGGGGCCGAATTTCATGTTAGTACTGCTAGTATGTATTTCCACTCCAAGCAATCAAAGGCTTTGAGGATGTCTAGGGACATAATTGTCAATGGGAGTTTGGTTGCCTTACTGTGTTCGATCAGGTTCAGTAATTTCCTGATGGGGTCTGTTATATTGCGGCCAGGGACAAAGCCAGTCTGGTCTGGGGCTATTAACTTGTGTAGGAAGATTTTTAGGCGGTTGGCCAAGATTGATGTGAATATCTTGTAGTCTTGGTTTATTAATGAGATTGGGCGGTATGATTCTACTTTGAGGCTGTCTTTTAGTGGTTTGGGGATGGAGACTATCTTGGAGTGGGTCCAGGTTTTGGGGATGGGGCCCCCTTTTATGATGTCGTTGAATAGGCGGGTCATGTAGGGCATCAAGGGTTCTTTGAATTTCTTATAGAATTCTGCTGTGAAGCCGTCTGGGCCTGGGGCTTTGTGTGGTTTCAGGTTTTTGAGGACCGCGTCTATTTCCTCTGGGGTGATAGGGCTGTCCATGAATTCCTGTTCCTCATCAGTTAGGGTAGGCATGGTCAGTCCTGCTAGAAATGTTCTGATTTCCTTCTCTGGTGGGTTATGGGAGGTGTATAGGTTGGAGTAGAATTCTGCAAATGTGGTACCTTGGTTTTCGAACAGCTTAGTTCCCAAACAACTCGGAACTCGAAAGCTGCAAACAAGGAAGTAGGTGTTCCAGTTTTCGAACTTTGCCTCGGAAGCTGAACAGGCTCCTGAGCTTTCACTTTTACCCTTGCGCAGCTCATTTAAGTCCCCCCCCATCGTAATTAAAGCCTTCCGTTTCTGATTGCAGTGTTCTGAGGTGATATTTGGTGCTTTTGTTTTTGCTATTTTTGTGTTTTTGTTTGTGTGGCTTTTTCATTTTTGTGCCTGTGGCTTGTTTTTTGTTTTATGATTGATGGATTGTGTGACTGCGGAAATGGATAAAAGCTCCTCATCCAAACAACGACTATCATCAGCGCAGGTAAGAAAAAAATTAATTTTAATTTTTATCATCTACAATGCCGTCTTATTTATTTTATAGTACAGAACACTGATTATTGCTTTCATTTTATGGATCATTGGTCTTGTTAGACAGTAAAATTCATGTTAAATTGCTGTTTTAGGGGTTGTTTTTAAAAGTCTGGAACAGTTTAATCCATTTTGTGTTACTTTCTATGGGAAAGCGCACCTTGGTTTTGGAACGGACTTCCGGTTGGTTGCACTATGAACAATTAAACGAAACATATAAAGAAGATAGTAAGAAAGGATTTCGCTATACAAGATCTAGGTTTCAAACCGAAGTGATTGAAGGGAAATTGAAATTACTGAAGGCCACATACAGCATACTGCTAGAATGGGAGACGAAAGATGAAGAGGTAAAATCAGTCATGATCAAATGGGCACAAGATGTAGGTCACAACATCATGATGGAAGATTGGGAAAGATTATAAAAAATTGACCTAAAATTACAGATTGTTCTCTGCTGAGGGAGAATTATATGAAGATGATGTACAGATGGTATATGACACCAGTGCAGCTAGGGAAAATGTACAAAGCTAGCTCAAATATATGTTGGAAGTGCAAGGAAAAGGAGGGTACTTTTTATCATATGTGGTGGGATTGTAATTTAATTTTTAAAAATTGAGAAATGATATACAATGAATTGAAGAAAATGTTCCATCTAACATTTGTCAAAAAACCTGCAGCATTTTTGCTAGGGATTGTAGGGAAAGACCTGCCAAAGAAGCTGAAAAACATCTTCATGTATGCGACAACGGCTGCGAGAGTCTTAATAGCACAAGGATGGAAGACTGAGGAAACTCTGATGAAAGAAGTATGGCAAGAGAAACTGATGGACTATGCAGAACTGGCAAAACTGACACACAAACTATGGGACAAGGATAACTGTGGCTTTAAAGATGAATGGGAACCTTTTACAAAGTACTTAAAGATGCAACAAAGTGAATTGGACTTCTTGGCAGGTTTTGAATAAACAATCAAAAACTTTTTATTGATAACAAACAGCTAGACAAATTAAGGATCTATACAAATCTGGAATATGCAGAGAATAGCATTCATAGAGAAACCAGAGATTGGAACTGAGGGAAGTCGGGTGGGGAGGTGGGTTGTTTTATGGGAGGGAGGGGGGAAATGGGGGGGTTAAGGATGATATATTTTAAGATAGTATGTTTTATTTAAACCTTTAATAAAAAATCTATTAAAAAAAGAGTCTGGAATGGATTAATCCATTTTGCATTACTTTCTATGGGAAAGCGCACCTTGGTTTTGGAATGGACTTCCGGAACGGATTAAGTTTGAGAACCAAGGTACCACTGTATTTTGATATCATGGTAGTGTACAGCAAAAAAACCATCACACATAATTTAAAACAGTACAAGGCAAAAAAGCTTCAAGCAGTTGGAAGTGAGGGTTCCTGCTGCATCTCTGCAGCCTGGAAGCGGAGGAGCCCAGCTCCTCTCTCGCTTCTCCAGATGACCTCCGGGAATGAGCGGGGATAGGATTGCACTTCAAGGACACATACCAGAACCCCAGAGGGGTGTGGCCTGGGAAAGGGGTGTGGTCTGAGGAGGGGGTGTGGCTTGGGGAGAGGGATGGAGGGCCGCATCCAGCCCCTGGGCTTCAGGCTCCCCACACCTGTTTTTAAAAAATGAAAAGGTAGCACCAAGGCAGTCTGGTCTCCCCAAAACAGTTGGCTTTTTCTGTGCTCTGAAAAAAGGATGAAAATAGCACAGGGAAAATACAGGAAGGCAAGGAAAGATATTGTGAGAATGTTATGTATTTGCTCAGTAAAAAGTGGGGGGGGGGGGTGCTTCCAGAAGGAAGTGTAATACTATAAAACAGGGGGCTCCAACTTTTTTGAACTGAGGAGCAAATGTGGAATTCAATAAACCACGATGGACACATAATGCACAGAAGAAAATTTGACAGTGCCCAGATCCCACCCCTACCCAAACAGGCAAAACACCAACACCCTAAAAATATATAAAACACAGGCAAGAAAGGGAACCTGCCCCCCCAAGGTCAACATTTACAAACAAACAAACTATACCTGCACACCATTAAAAAACAGAAGGGGCAGCGGTGCCTTGGTGGGTGCTAAAGGAGGTATTTGTTGGGGACTGCAGTTGTAAAGGGTTGTTCAGATATCACAAGCAGATGGTTGGCAGCAGTGGACATCCTTGGAAAGCCACCAGGGCTGCAAGCCCCCTGGAAGGGCGTGTTGCCAAACCCTGCTGCTGTGCAGCTTCCAAGGAGCAGCTCCCCCACCCCACTACCCTATCAGAGAGCAACCCAATGGCATACTGCTGCCCAACCCCTGCAAACGACACCTGGAACTGGTCCTGTCTCAGGCCTCTTCCTTCAGGTTTCTTCTTCAACCCATTTGTCATGGGCCAGGAATCGGCTTCACCTGCTGAGCAGCAGCCTGAAGAAGCAGAAGGCAGAGTGACTCCACCTGCTGCTGCCTTCTTGCTCCTGATGTGAACCAGCTGGCTCCAGCTTTCTTAGGCAGGGTTTCCTGCTTCAGTCAAACCTTGCTGCTTCTTGCTTCTCTTGACCTTGGATCCTCAGCTTTCTTGACCCCCGGACCATCTGACTACCTGAGCTGAGATGCTCCTGCCCTTAGGACTGGACTGAACCTTGTATATGGACTCTGCCTCCAGGCAAGGACCCCCTGAGACTTGGCTGGTTGGCTGGCCTCTCCTGCCACTGAGCTCTGCCGTTTGTTTTCAGCAACTTGATGGAGGCCGGAAGCCCTGCCTAAGAAAGCTGGATTGGCTAAAAATTACAGGAAGGGATTTCGTAAATACAAAGTGTTTCATGTCAGCATCACATTTTCCATTTCAAGTATTTTAGTCCTGATTGTATGTGGCAGTGCCCTCTTTATGTATTCACATGGTGTATGTGGAATACATTGTCCTCTAGATCCAAACACACACACACAACACATAGGATAAGCAAACAATACTCCAAAGGGCTTATCTTGTGAACTTGACATTTAAATTGTTTAATTGTGACGAAAGCTCCTGTTTCCCAAAAAAGGACAGGGTAGGGATCTCTGAAACATGGAGGGGAGGAAAAAGAAAAAGGAGAAAGGAGAAAGGATATTTCCAGGGGTTGGGTCCCTTCCAACTCTACAATTCTATTATTCCCTTAGATTTAACAGCAAAACAAGCCGTTGACAGCAACAAACCCGTATTTTTTCAGCTTTGCTTGGAGGGCAGTCTCCCCCCACCCCATTCTTCTCTCCAGGATTTCTCACATACCTGTAGTTGCAAAGCAACAGGGGATCCCATCTGGAGAGCCAAGCAGCCTCAGTCCCTCTCCCTGCCTCCCCATGTAAAAGAGCCTTCCACTTCACGGGGGGGGGGGGATATAAATGCTGGCAGTTTGGGAGCTTCAATAGGTGCCCTTGGGAAGCCTTCACCCAAGGCAAAAACCCTGGCTAGCCCCCCCTCCTGTTAGCTACGGCTGTGCATTAGTAGTAGTACCCTGCCCATCTGGCTGGGTTTCCCCAGCCACTCTGGGTGGCTTCCAGCAAAATATAAAAAATAATAAAATGTCAGACTTTAAAAGCTTCCCTGAAAGTTGTGTAATTCTTTATCTCCCTGACATCTGTTGTGCTTTACCTTGAATCTCCTTGTCTGGGGGCTCCCTCTCCCTTAGCTTTCTTCCATCCCAGAACTTACTCGTGATCACTACTCAACCTGGTCGGTCCCTATATTACTGCCAAAATGACCACATTCCCATTCCTTCAGAGGAGTTTGATTGCAAACTCTGTAGCTTTTTGGGCAGAGCCCACAAGTGTAATACAGTATGAGGTGTAATGAAAATGTGATTGCTGAACATGATGCTGTCAAAAACCAGGAACACAGATTCCTGATGACTGCCAAGAGAGTTCAATGAAGGGAAGGAAATGATTGTGATGACATACAAATTAAAGAGAGCCCACAAACAGTCTGCAGGCGACAGCAAGTGAGAGAAGAAGAGTGGAACAGTTCTCTGTCCCTGTTCAGTGCTCAGCAGAGAAGTCAGGTGGACGTCCAGAGGAGAGAAGCCCCTGCTTCTGTACCCAGCATTGAAATGCAGGGAGAGGTTGCCAGAAGGATGTTCTGCATGACTCTTCTGGCAGTTCCTAGGAGACAAGTGGTCACATCTGCACCATAAGGCACATGGCTCCCATCAAAGAATCCTGGAAACTGTTTACCCCCCACAGCTACCATTCCCAGTACCCTTAACAAACAATATTTCTCAATATTATTTGGGAAAGGCCATGTGCCTTAAATGCACAATGCAGATATGATGATGATGATTTTGCACACAAGTAATTTTTGTGAGCTTAATTTCAAATTTGCCATAAGCAATGTATCCAGGATCACTTGATTCCTCAGGATGGGGGCCCATTACTCTCTTAGAGGAGATGCAAAAGCATTGAGCATAATTGTTACTCTGCAACAGTCATTTTTCTCCTGATTAAAGAACAATTATATATTGACTATTTTTTGTAAACAGACTTGATTTCACTATGTTCTGTAATGGCCTGACAAATAGACAGTGATGTGCCAAAATTGCACAAACAAATCCAATCATTTTCAAGGGCAGCCAAGTGAAAGTGGTGTTCCTTGTTTGTTAGTTTTTTATGAAGCCAAAGGAATAACAGGAAAACCTTGAACAGACAATTTCTAGGAAGGATTGCTTCCTTTTGATGAGTTATTCAGAACAAACTATCAGCAGAAACCTCTAAGTGTTGCTTTCTGTCTCTTCCCAGGGGATGGGCAGAAGATAGATTGTGGGGCATTCATGAACCACTGGACCACCTAAGATGTGCAATTAATTAAAAAATAATGATGAGCAATTAGTTTCGCTACAGAGAGAAAGTCATAAATTGAAGCCATCATGCACTTTTGCAGGGAGCAGGGACTGAGTAATTAAGATCCGTGTCTCAACTGCCATAAATCTGCTGGTGAACAGGAAGCAACTTGTAAAGGAGGAAGAAAAAGCCAAGACAGGAGAAAGAATAGGTTTTGCTTTGAAAGAATAGGTCAAGGAGGAAGCCAGCTGCAAGGGAAAATGGACCTTGCTAAATGGGAATTCTGGTCAAACAAATTAGGCTATAAAAGCAAATGTATCTAGGAGTATGGTATGTCTCATTTAATCCAATGAGATACTTCGTTCTGAGTAGATATGCACAGGACTGGACTCTTTAGGTTTTTTTGTTTGTTTGTTAGATTATGAATTCCACTTGCCTATTAAAATAATCAAAGAGACTTAAAATTTAAAAAAAAGAATCATGGTAGAGCAAAACTACTGAAACAATGATCCACAACAGTTAAAGCATCCAAAGGTCTAGAACTCCCAATAGTGATGAAAGGGCAGGCCACTAATTAATGTTAATAAAAACCTCAGAAGCTGAACGCCTTTGAACTTGAACATTTCGGCTCCAGAACAATCGAAACTCGGAAGTGATTGTTCCAGTTTTCAAACGATTTTCAGAAGCCGAACATCTGGCACAGCTTCCACAGCTTCCAATTGGCTGCAGGATGCTCCTGCAGCTGATCAGAAGCCATGATTTGGTTTTCAAACTGTTCCAGGAATCAAATGGACTCCTGGAACACATTAAATTCGAAAACCAAGGTACAATTGTATTAGGAAACAAATGTCTTTACAATCTGTTGAAATGGAGAAAGAGGGAACCCAGTTAATCCCTAGCAGAAGGGAGTTTCACAGTTGTTGGCCCACCATCCTGAAGTTCCACATGTCTCTTGTGCTCATGCACCTGTTCGGACAGAGCAGGGGCTTTATCCAGGCACTTCATCTGAAACGTAACTGGATTCTAAATTATTTAATTTAATCCTAAAGTGACAGGGACTGAAGGTGGACAAATTATCAAGTGACCTGGTGGGTTCTTGCTGACCCAGTGAATGTAAGGGCAGAGCTCTTGCAATCCTCCATCCTTTTCTGGTTCCCACCCTACCCACTTTAAATTACCAACCTCCCCTTGGGAAACCTTTAAAGTGTGCAGAATATTTGGCCCTCCAGATGTTGCTGAACTGCAACTCCCAGCAAACATGGCCAATGACCAGGGATGATTGGAGTTGTAGTTCAGCGGCATCTGAAGGGCCAAACAGATCTCCCTCTCTAAGGTCAGAGTTCTTTTTTTCTTTTTGACAAGGGAGATCCTATGGCTCCTTGGAAGCCCTCGCAGGGATTACAGGACCTTGGCTTTAAGGGACAATTCCAGTATGAATATATATAATTTTTATTAAATTTTCTGTTTTACAATTTAGAATATTCATTTAAACAACCTTAAAATATCAGTGACTTCCCTTCTTCTCTTTCCATGGTTCACTTTGCATAACATAAATCCCTGCATATTTTATATAAACTAAACCATTCAGTATCCCATTACATCCATCAAAACTTATTTACACTGTTTAATTTATCTTAATGCTGCCAACGTTTTCAAATGTACACAATTTCCCCCCATATATTCAATAAACATTTTCCAATCTTTAAACGTATGTTCTTCTTGTTCTCTTATTCTATAAATTAGGTCCACAGGCTGCACATATTCCATCAGTTTAAGTTGCCATTCTTCTCTGGTTGGGACCTCACTCGTTTTCCATTTTTGGGCTAACAATACACGGGCCGCGGTTATGGCATATATATAAATAACCTTTTTTGACACCTGGGAATTTCCATCTGAAAAGTGCTTTAAAACATTTTTTTCAGTTCATTATAAATTATTTTCCAATGCTCTTTAACCCTTTTACAGGTCAACCACATATGAAAGTACCTTCGACCTCATTGCATCTCCAGCACTTATCTGATTCAGCCTTATATATCTTCTCAAGCCTACTTGGAGGTAGGTACCATCTGTAAATCATTTTCAAGCAGTTCTCCTTCAAGGAATAACATGCTGTAAACTTCAGATCGCTCTTCCAAAGTTTTCCCCCGAGATTAAAATCTATGTTATGTCCTATATCTATTGCCCAGTCATAGAGGCTTTGACAAGCTCGTCTTTTGTTTCCCATTCTAATAGCAGATTGTACATTTTAGATAAAGGTTTTTCTGTGTTTTGTATAAGTTCTTTTTCAAATTGTGAGCTTTGGTCCAAGAAACCATTTTTCCTATCTATTTTAAACATTTCATGTAATTGATGATATTGTAGCCAGTCTGTAACATTGTCCATTGATTTCAGTTTAGGCTCTCCCTCTGTGAAATACAGCAATTCCCTGTAAGCTGTCTGTGTATATTAACTCTCTTTATTGTAATAACCTCAATAAGAGATAGCCATAAAGGTGTTTTCCTTTCAAGCAGATTTTTATATTTCTCCCAAACTTTATACAAATTCTTCCTTCATGGTTCATAAAACTTTTATAGATTTTCACCTTCCCATACCAGAGACATGCGTGCCAGCCAAATTTTAAATCATGGCCATCTAAGTCCAGGATGTCTGCATATCTAGTGTAATCCATTCTTTTAACCAGCACAAGCAAGCTGCCTCATAATACATTTGCAGGTCTGGCAGAGCAAAGCCTTCTTTTTCTTTTATGTCTATCATAATTTTATGTTTAATTCTTGGCTTTTCCCCTGCCAGATAAACTTAGAAATATCCTTATTCCATTCCTTGAAGCAGAGGGGATCTGAGATGTTGGGGTTCTTAGTTAATGATGCTATATTTCAAAAGAGAAATTTGAAGTTCTTATAG